GCAAACATGAAGAAGTGTCATCTATAGGGGTCTCTGAGTCCCTTTCTTATGCACGAAGCTGTGTCACCTCTGTTTCCTTCATTTTCTTCAGGTCTCTAATTAAAGGCTCATCTCAGAATGGAGCACGTCAGCCACTCACCTTCATCGCTGACTGCCTTAAATGGTGTCTCCTGTCCCCTGACATCACAGGGAGGGCCTATCTATCACTCGCCTACTTGCTTATCATTTCTCTTCCTTCCTTGGGATGTAAGCAGAAAACTAGCAGCTTTAGTTACTTTCATTGGTTATTAAAATAAGGATTTCCCAGGAGCAGAAGGAGAGAGAGCACAAGCAAGGAACTCAGGACCGCGAGGGGTGCACCCACACACTGAGACAATGGGGATGTTCTATCGGGAACCCACTAAGGCCAGCTGGCCTGGATCTGAAAAAGCATGGGATAAAACCGGACTTGCTGAACATAGTGGACAATGAGGACTACTGAGAACTCAAGAACAATGGCAATGGGTTTTTGATCCTACTGCACGTACTGGCTTTGGGGGAGCCTAGGCAGTTTGAATGCTCACCTTACTAGACCTGGATGGAGGTGGGTGGTCCTTGGACTTCCCACAGGTCAGGGAACCCTGATTGCTCTTCAAGCTGATGAGGGAGGGGGACTTGATCGGGGGAGGGGGAGGGAAATGGGAGGCGGTGGCGGGGAGGAGGCAGAAATCTTTAATAAATAAATAAATTAAAAAAATTAAATAAGGATTTCCAGGATCCCCATTAGCCTTTCTCTCTCCTGCTTGGCAGGAGCTTGCAGGACGAAGTCGGGCCTGGGCCCCCTCTTGTCTTTACTGATTCCAAGCTGCATGATTTTCATGTGTGAAAATCATCTCACCCTTTAAATCTGTGGAGATCATCTCCAAAGATGGATCCCATCAGTAGCATGTGCATTGTCCACGTCCATGTATGGTACTAACATGGGCCTGTGTGACTGGATCCCTCAGTAGCATGTGCACTGTCCACGTCCATGTGTGTACATGGGTCTGTGCGACTGGATCCCTCAGTAGCATGTGCATTGTCCACGTCCATGTGTGCACACTGGTCTGTGTGACTGGATCCCTCAGTAGCATGTGCACTGTCCATGTGTGCACACGGGTCTGTGTGACTGGATCCCTCAGTAGCATGTGCATTGTCCATGTGTGTACATGGGTCTGTGTGACTGGATCCCTCAGTAGCATGTGCATTGTCCATGTGTGCACACATGGAAGCCTATGTGCCTTTTTTGTCTCCTCTTCTTCCTCCTCTTCCTCCTCCTCCTCCTCTTCCTCTTCCTCTTCCACGTCTTCCCTCCACTCCTCCTCCCCCCTTTTTGGGACAGGGTTTCTTCAATGAGTCTGGAGCTCACTGACTGTCGAGATTGGTTGACCAGTAACCTCAGAGATCTGTCTATCTCCCACCCAGCTCCTAAACGCCCCGCAAACTCAGGGACTGCAGACACCAGTGTGCAGGGTAGGAGACTTAATTCAGTCCTTCATGCGTACATGGCAAGCACTTTACCCACCGAACAATCTTCGTTCTCCCAACTCATCTACATTGATGGCTTCTGTCAAGCTGGTCGTCATTTATTTAGGTAGCACACATCCTTGCAAGGGGTGATGGTAGCACTCAGGAGGCAGAGGGATCGCAACAAGTTCAAGGGTGTCTTGGTCTATGCAGTCAGTTCCAGCCAGCCAGGGGTACATAAGGAGAGTGTCTCAGATAAATAAAAGTGAATAAATAATAAATCCCTTGCACATTTAGGAAATAAGATCAAACCCCCTATGGAACCGGCTTTTCTCTTTGCCTGGTAGAATCATGGCGATCCTGTTGGTATTTTGCTGCTCTGTCCTACTGACACGCCAGCGGTTCATTTAACTTTGCAGTCTTTGTACTTCATTGCTACCTGGCAGTCGGTATGTACTATGACTTGTGTCCGTGTGAGATGTCGCATGTCACTGCCCTGCTGCCTGCCTTTGTTTGCTAGTTCCAAAGGTTGGCAGCTGGTCTAGTCAACTTCTTTAGTGTTTCTGTGCTTTTCAGAAATATGGGAAAAGAAAGAAAGATGCAGTTTAGCTGAATACATGTCCACATATCCTATCCTAGCACTTAGGAGGCTGAGGTGGGAGGGTTCTGACATTTCAAGACCACCTTGTGCTTTGTACTTTGTCTCAGAAAAACAAAATAGTAAAATACTATATTTTATTATTGTTGTTGTTGTTGTTGTTGTTTGAGACAGAGTTTCTCTCTGTAACAGCCCTAACTGTTCTGGAACTCACTACATAGAGAAATTTGGCTCCGAACACATAGAAATACATTTGCTTCTAACTCCTGAGTGCTGGGATTAAAGGTGTGTGCCACCACTGCCCAGCAGTGCTATATTTTAATATGGTGGCACATATAGCTTAAGATTTACCTTCTGAATCATTTTGAATTGTGCAGTTCCATGGTATTACAGCCCTGATATTGTGTAACCACCAGCATTGTCATGTCCAGAATGCTATCCGGTAAAACTGAAACTGTGTCTACTCAAACAGTTGCTTAGATACTTTGTTTCATTCTCTGGACCTCCTTGTCATTCAGGAGTGTGTCCAGTTGGGATACAGCTTTTCAGTACTATCTGAAGAAGCTAGTAATTCCTCAGTCTACAGTGCTAGCTCTGACACCTTTCCGAGCTCTAGATCTGCAATTCCCCTGAGTAAAACCATTATGAGGTGTAGCCCAAAGGCACTCTGCCCTACATGTTCAGGCTGCCTCTGACCGGCATCCTTGCAGGCTGACTGTACTTCTTGTGGCATGCCGGGTGGCTGAGGTCATTCTATCCTTTCAGGATGTCCACTCAATGTCTGCGTTCTATTGTTACCACATCCTCTTGGTACCCAGGGAAGGAGCATATGGGAAGGCAGAAGAATAGAAGGTGGACCCTAATTCTGAAGTCTTTTAACCTGAAGGCTTGTCCTGGGGTCTGGGTGGTGACCTGTTACAATTGCTGAGCATGGTGCTTGGGAGAGAGGAGGGGTGGAGGGAGAAGAAGAAATCTCCATAGACAAAAACCCTTATTGTTTTTCTATTTGTCGATAACCCCATGCATTCACATGTACAGGGTTATCTAACTTAAAAATCAAATATTTGGCCATTGGGGTTTCTTGGCAGGATCTTTATGCTGCGAGTGCAGTTTTCTCTAGTTGATGAACCTAACTTCTTCCAGTAGCAAAAGGCAATCTTGACGGATATCGTTGTCTCTCTTAGCTTTATTAATAACTGGACAGTTCTCAGGGTAGTCTGTGTTTTTACTTCTGATGATGAATTCTGACTATATTGAGAGGAGCGAAGAGAAGTAGTAATGTCACTTTTTAGGCTTAACTCTAAAATAGAGCTCTTATTCTGGTGAGAATATTTCAAATAACAATCACCCTTTAACTATTTCACCATGTAGCTTTGGGGTTGCTGTAGCAGAGGAGGGCTTTGATTTTGCAATTTTTATCAGGATCTGTGAGAATAAGTGGAAGGAGGCACCTGATACTCACTGATGAAGCCTTCCTCACTTTTTAATTTCAAGGCGACTTAAGTTAAAGCTGTGGGGTGACCCTATTATGCCACCCCATTCCTAGTTCTACAGAGTTGCAGATGTGACAGGGTGGGGGGAGACTTATCCCATCGAGTGTAAGAAAATGCAACCCAAATGAGGTACATATGCTGTTAAAATATCTTATGTGTATCCTCTTGTATAGCTTCTGGCTCTCTTGCCTCCAGCAAATCTAATGTATGAATCTCTGCCCCTCCCCCTTTGGTTTTTGAGTCAGCCTCGCAGACAGCACAGGCTTACTTCAAAATTACGGGTATCCTCCTGCCTCAGCTTCCCTAGTGCCAAGTATACAGCGATGATTGCCTCCACGTCTGAAGTGTTCATCCTACTTCTGGTCTCACCAACGAACAGGAAAAACGATATTGCAATTCGGCGTCTCCCTCTTGTTTGGAGATGAGACTCTTGAGTGAAGGCTTAGGCCCTAGAAATGTTTGCTCCTCACAGATTTAACTCCAGCCAGGGCAATACACCTCTTTTCCTGCGAATTTCAGAGTTTTCAATCCCCGCAGAAGGGGGCCGGGCAGAACTGGGCGGGGCCTGGCATGTGGGCGGGGCGGAAGACTCATTCCAGGTTGGACAGGGCAGGATGGGGCGTAGTCTGTGGGGTCGTGCAGCTGCTCAGTGGGGTTGGGCTAGGTAGGGGCAGGCAGCTCTTCAGCTGTCCCGTTCTGTGTGTCGTGGGCTCGGGAGGGAGCCGGTGGGGTCGTTCCTTAAGAGACAGGCCTGGGAGAGAGGGCGGGACAGAGGCGGGGCCCAAGGTTCCTTTGAAGGGCTGAAGTCTAAGCTTCCCGGGAGGGCGTGGCTTGGCGGAGGGCGCGGGGCGGTCCTTAGCCACCCAGGAGAGGGGCGGAGCCAAGGCGAAGCTGGGTTCTTAGAACGGCAGCCGTCCGCTGGGGTGTGCCTGGGGGCGTGGCCTGAGAGCGGGGGCGGGGCCGTCCTTGCCTCCCTGGAGGGGGAGGAGCCGGGGCGGGGCCTGGGGCTCAGGGGAGAACAGTAGCGGCCCTCAGGGCGCGTCTGGAAAGGCGTAGCCCGCGGAGGAGCGGCTCGCCAGCTAACGGTCCTGGGGCCGCGCGTGCCCGCGGGCGACGCCCGCCCGGCCCTTTGCGTCGGGAGCGCGCGGCCGCGCCGGGGCTCGTTCCTCCTCCGCAGCGGCGTCTTCCTCTGCCTCTTCTGCGGGCTGCGGCAGAGCGCTGCGGCGGCGCCGGCCTACGCCATGAGGATCCCCGCGTCAGGGCCAGCGGCGGGCCTCTCGGAGCGGCTGAACTGGGCGTGAGGCGGCGGCGGCCTGCGGGCCTGGGGAGCCCGCCATGGGGGACAGGTGACGAGACCCCGAGTGGGAGGGCGGGCCGGGTGGCCCGCGCGCGAACCCCGCTGACCATCCCTTTGCCTGGCGCAGGTGGGTCCGCGTGACCGTGCTCCGCGGCTGCGTGGGCTGCAGGACCGTGGCGGTGCCGGCGACAGCAACCGCGCGGGACCTCAAGGAGCGCATCTTCGCCGAGACCGGCTTCCCGGTGGCAGAGCAGCGGCTGTGGCGCGGAGACCGGGAGGTAGGTCGGCTCCGGGCCTGCCCGGGGGAGATGGGCGCCGCCGTCGCGTGCTGGCGGCAGGAAACTCAGGGGCTCCTGTCCGTCGCGGAAGACTGATGCTCCGATGATTCATTCGAGCTTTGCAGATAGCTGGGGCAGAATGGCAGGAGCGTGCGCCTGCCGGTAGTAGTGGGGTTTTTTGGTTTGTTTGTTTGTTTTCCATTTACGGTTCCAGATTCGTGAATCTTCACTGCCTAAGACGAACGTTTTTTTTTGATGGGCATTGTGAACCGAGGCGTTTTAAAAATCTCAGACATCACCATTCTGATTCATCACTCGTTTACTTCAGGCCCTAAATTGAATAAGAATGCTGTTTTAAAAACGGCCTGTTCTGGATCCCTTCCCAGCCCCTTGTGGTTCTGGGGCTGAGACTTATGGTTTTGCACGTGCTGGGCAAGCACTCTCCACTAATTTCTATGAATCACGGAAATCTACAGCTGAAAAGGGACTTCAGACATTAATACCCATACTGCTATTTTGAGGAGAAAATCTAAAACTTCTGAAGTGCCAATGAATGTCTTAGTAGACCACAATTTTGGAAAATAGCAACATTTCATATATCCTCTTAGATGATGGGACAAATCCTGGAGTTTCCTTGAATGGGAAATTTAAATGACTTTTTATTGCAAATGATCTTATTCTTTATAACTCTAATATCTTACCTCTCTTATTCGGTAAAGAACAGCATGTCCAGGACTTAAAGAGTCGAATGAAATTACAGGGGTTACTTGAGCGACACCGATGACATTTCTAGTTGGATTTCCATACTGCTCAATTCATTACTCTCCAGTGTGGTCTTGACTTTTTATATACCTGGGTCAGTTTTCTGATTTCCTGTACACTTTAACAGATTTCCGGTGAACCTGTTTTTATGCACCTCTCTCACACACTGGCTTGCCCAGAGAGTTGAGGCGGAATCAAAAAGAGACACTCACCATTATTGCCTTCTTTATCTGTCACCTCCATGCCTTGCCCACCTTACTCCTGCTTCTCCTTTGTCATTCTGTTCCCTAGATGCATTTACTCCAATGACTCAGTTGTAGCTTTTGCCATTGGAAGTGTCTCTGAGGTGCCTTTGAAAAGCTCAGATTTGGGGTGCTTGGTGGAAGAAGTGGTCATATTGTTTGGGTTGGGTGGTTAGGAGGGTGAAGGAAATCTGTGTCTATCACTGATTGGTTTTGAGGTCATGGGGTTCTAGTCTACGGCTGTGAAGGTGAAGTTGAAAGCATGGGGAGGCAGTGAGATGCCTCAGTGCTGTGCAAGCCTGACGACTGAATTTAATTCTGGAAACCCTTGCAAAGGTCAGAGAGAAGGATCTCTACAGAGTTGTCCTCTGACCTCCACAATGCGCTCCTGTCTCTGTCTTCTCTCTTTCTCGCTCTCTCTCACACACACCACAAATAATTAAATCAAAGGATATATAGGACACTCTGTAAAGGAGAGAATTGTGGCACCTTCACTGGGGTTGCCTAAGACTATCCTGCATATCAGATATTTACATTACAATTCGTAACAGTAGCAAAATTAGTTATAAAGTAGCAACAAAAATAATTTTATGAGGAACTGTATTAAAGGGCTGCAATGTTAGGAAGGTTGAGAACCGCTGACCTAAAGGATGGACAGAGGGTGTAGAATAAGGCAAAAGGCTTTACAGAGCATGTGTTTAAGTCTGGAGTCAGACCAGGAGACCATTTCTGGAAGAAATGTGACAGTTTGCTTTTGTGTGTGGTTCTACTGATGCTAAGACATAGAAGCCACAGGGAAAATGCAAGTAATGGAGAAGTGGGTGACCCAGATCCTGCTTGCTGCTGCCATGTGTATGCCGTTAGCCATGTGTGTGTTAGTTTCTGCTTTCACATCCAGTCTAGCCAGTTCTAGGGTGTGTGGCTCTAAAGACGGTGAAAGTCAGCTCCCAGCTGCAGATATGAAACAGAGAGAGGTCGGTGTTGAAGACAGAATTCTAGGCCGTGGCCGATAGTTAGCACCTCTCCCTTTCTGTATTTGGAAAGTGTGGGAAGAGAACTATTGTGCCCTCCACTCCCTGCTCTCCTCCAGACACTGTTCTCTGACCTTTATACCTACAGCCTCCTTTAGTGCTCAAAAGAAGCATTGTGTGTTGGCATTCTTTCCACAGGTGGAGTTTACCTTTCAGCCCCATGCTGCTCAGGACTTTTTAGATTGACATTACTAAATTCTGAATATTTCAGGGTGAGCAGCGGATCATAATAGATAGTAGATGGTGATTTAGCTTTTCTGTCTTTTAATTCATCACAAATAGGTCATGTCCCTCTCCAATACCCCATTCCCTAAACCCCAACTTTTGACTCTTGAGCATCTCCCTATGTCTTTGACACTGAAAAAAGGAAATTTTGGGTGATCTGCTGAATAGTTATATTGTCATAGTGTTTAATAATTTGGGTAGAGTTCCTGTTTGCTGTTAATTGAAGATGCGTGTCTCTGAGGTTTGTAAGGGAGAATGAGGCTGACAAGACCAAGATTCTGATGATTTTATAATCGATTTTAAAAACAATGAATAGGGACATAGTACATATGGGAGGAGAACAGGGACCTTTCTTTGGTTAGTTGTAGTGCCCAGGAGAGAAGGGGAGAGGGCCTATACAAGCCACCAGATCATGGCACGCTCCATAGGAGGTAGTGCTGCTGGGACATCTCTACTGTCTGATTGCTCTTTAGGAGAATCAGTAAAGTCTACCAGACTGTCTGTTGTCAGACTCTCAGTTATGTCTGGCTAACCTAATGTACTTAGGTTATTAGGTGTCTAGTTTCTTGCAATTGATTGTCTTGGAAACCTGGAAACTTCCTATGTTTCCTTCCTTTGCTCTACCATTTTTTCTTTTAGTGCACCTTAATGATCCTAAACTGGGCTAATGATCATTGATTTATGTGTGACTTTCTTTTAGTAATTAGTTAGATGGTTAATTAACCTGTAGAATGATCATCCATGGATGATGTTATGAGTACCCTTATGTTTCTTCTGTGCCTGTATGCCTGACTTTCTCCTTCATGTCTGTGTATCTTCTGTTGTCTTTTTGTTATCTTAATAGTTCTATAAATGTGTGTATATGTATATATTTGTATTTCATATGTATGTGTAACCTAAATACATTACCCAAATAATATTCCATTTACTTTTGTTGGTTATGCCCATTATAAGGAGTTTATCATTCTTCATGTAATAAGCTAGATAGCTTTCACTCAATATTTCATTATTAATATACATCTAAATTATATATATATAACTTAGTTGTTCAGTATTCATTAATGTGTGATATTTTGCTATTCAAATACATTATAGTATTTGGATTATTTCTAAGGACTTTTTTTTTGCTAGTGACAGTCAATGTTCTCATCTATGTTTCTTTTTCTTTTTTCTTTCTTTCTCCTTTTTTTAAAAAAGCTTTTCATGACAGGGTTTCTCTGTGTAACAGTCCTGGCTGTCCTGGAACTCTCTTTGTAGACCAGGGTGGACTTGAACTTACTGAGACCCGCCTGCCTCGGCCTCCCAAGTGTTGGATTAAAGACGTGCGCCACAACTGCCTGACTAGCCCATTTATGTTTCTTTAAGCACCTGCAAGGAGTGCACTAGTTTTCAAAGATAGTTCCCAGGTTCAGCAGGTGTATGATGTGAATATGTTTTATAACCAAGGCCATTAGTGGTACATCCAACAAGAGGAGCAGAAGGATTACATACAGAAAATAAGGAGATCCAATGGGAGAGGGTTATTAAAACCTGGATGACAGGAGAAGCTGCTGCAGGGAGTGGAGAAATACAGTTAGTTTGGAGAGACTGGAGATTATGTACTTGAACCTAGAAGTAACTGTGGAGGAGCTTTGGAGAGGGATGTTCCCCTGGAGTGACTGTGAAATAAAGCTGAGGTGGTGCTGGAGGGAAAGCTAAAGAGCTCACCTTTCTCCTCGTTGAGTTTTTGAACACGGAGACAGTTGGCCTTGTCAGTAAAGTGTACCTTAGAAAAGCAGTCCTTCAGGTAAGCTTTGGAGTCAGGTTTGTGATCTTTGGACTGTTGAAAAAGCCCAGGTAGACCATGTCAGTAGATTGAAAGTAGACTCAGACAGAGGGGTCAGCTCTGAGTCAGTAATTCATCTTGTACCCGCCTTCATTAGAAGCTGGGGCCAAGCACCAAGGCAGTTTTCAGGGAAGTCACAGCTTACTCCTCTCTTGCTGGGGGCATCTGTAGTAATGCCTTCCAAAGGAAAACGTGATTCCTTGGGAACATGATTTTGTGGGATACCACTAAAAATAAATAAAAAATGCTGCTGATTCAGGGAATGCTGAATAGATTAATCCCAAGAAAATTGTCATACATATTAATATGTCAAAATTTTTGTCCTTTTGATTTGTTACAGTTTCCTGGACCTATGCTATATACCAAATACATATTGATAGCATTGATCAAAAAGATAGTTTTGCTTATGTTAAGGATCTCACATATATCTGAAACTGAATTTAAGATGATTTGGACAAGTAGAATACTTGCCTAGCTTGTGAAAGAGGGAAGGAAGAATTCTTTGGCAGAGGACAAATAGGTGAATTTTTACTTATAATTATTTAAAGAAAAATTCTAACTTTTAACATAAATATTTTAACCATCATTTTGTCTGTCTTCTGAAACATTCCCTTCAGAGCAACTTATTTCTTGGTGAGAATGGTTAACAAACGTTACTTGAATGAAAACACTTGAGGAAGGTTTTGAAATGACAGTGTTGGATGTTGTGTCACTTCTTACACATTTCTGCTCTCTGTTTCAGTTACCTGACTGGATCAAGATTGGAGATCTGACTCCCAAAACCTGTCATCTTTTTGTGAACCTTCAATCAAAAGGCTTAAAAGGGGGAGGTATAATATTGGTTTTATCAGAATATAGCATAGTTCAGTCTATTGAAGATTTTATTTTAATCCAGGCACAGAGGGGAGGACGGTGACTGCCATGAACTAGGAGGAGGATAAAATGAAGAGTTGTTGGTCCAATATGAAATTTAACTATGCAAAACAAATGAGATCTGGAGATCTGCTGCACAGTGAACGGCCCAGTTGTGATGACCAGCGCTAGCACTGTACTGTGTTCTTAAAGCCTCTAAGAAGAGTGGAGCATGGTGGTGCATGCCTGTAATCTCAGTATGTAGGAAGCTGAGGCAGGAGGCTCTTTGGAGTATGAGGCCAGCCTAGCTACTTAGCAATAAATAAATATAAACAAACAAATAAAATTGCTAAGAATGGAGATCTTAAATACTTTTCCACAAAAAGAATAAAGTCAAAACAAAATGGAGTTAGGAGAAACTTTTGGAGCTGATTGATAGAATAAGGGAGTTATAATGATATTTGGATAGTTTCATGGGTATATAGTGACCTTCAAGTTCATGTATTAAGTTTCTGTAGCTTTTTATATGTACTTCTGTAGTCAGGCTTTCCTTTGGGCTGCCAGCTCACATATAACTACATGGAGACTTATTATTAATTATGACAGCTCAGTCTATAGCTTAGGCTTGTTCTTAGCCAACTCTTATAACTTAACCCATTTATATTAATCTATATTCTATAATATGGCATTACCTCTGTTTCATCTTATACCTCCTGTTTCCTCTCTGTGTCTCCCATGCACCTTGAATCTCCTCCTCTTCCTTTCTTTCCCCAGAAATCACACCTATTCCTCCTGCCTAGCTATAGGCTGTTCAGCTTTTTATTACACCAATCACAGCAAAATACTTCTTCATACAGTGTATAATTACCCTACAACATTTCTCCCTTTATGTCTAAATAAAAAGGAAAGGTTTTAACTCTAACATAGTAAAACTATATACAATAAAAAGTTATCAGGTAAGAATTACATTCACAATGTCCAGTTGATTTGTATGTGGCATATTTGAGAAAATACTCTATTATTTATTTTATCTTGATGAATTTAACTAAACCATTTTATCATAACTTTAATATGGTATTACCATATTAAAACTATCTTTTTAGACCTCAAAACATCTTAGGTAAACAACTTATGCTTTTATATTTCTTAACTATTTTATAAACTTTATATCTTTTTGTAAGTTTCTTTTTGGAATTTAGTAACAAGGAAAATTATAAAACTATAACTATTTCATTTTCAACTCTATCAGAGACCCACAAAGGATATAATATTACCTGAGTAAGCAAGAAGTGTTTCAAAACTATAGAAACAATGGAGACATCTAGCTGCCTAGACAGTTGCCCTAGTTTTCTCTGTATATTGGTGCATCCATTTTTGGCTACATTCCTAGAATATCTGACAGATTTTTCTATGAAGCAGGAATTTAGAAGGACTGTCATACCTTGTCTTGGTAAAGTTTGGCAGTAACTTTTTTTTTGTCCAATTTGGACAGTATAGTTTCAGCCATTGAGGCACGGGCAATTTATTGCTGAGCTGCTAACTTTGCCACAATAAAAACAAACTCCATATGGAGGTTTTTGATGCCCAACATCCTTATTTGAAGTAGAGTGGTGCTGCCAGGAACAGATCCGTCTCATTGTCATGAAAAGCCTTCTGTTACTAAAACATCTTAAATGTGATATTCTGTAGGTTTCTGAAGTGTTTAAAGATCATCTGTATATCTAAAATATATCTCTGTATGACCTTGAAAACATACCAAACATGACTACAAGTTTTATTGTTATAGATGACTAACTACTAATTTATATTTCTTAATTATCCTAAATGACTTATAATAATAGCTTTCAAGGACTAGAACTTTACATTACATTTTTAAATGAACTGCATAGGTATAATACCTTAAACAAGAAAGAAACATATATAGTATAGCAAAAATAACCTTAAATTTGTGTCAATATAAAAGTATCTTGCCGAGTGGTGGTGGCGCACGCCTTTAATCCCAGTACTCAGGAGGCAGAGGCAGGCGGATCTCTGTGAGTTTGAGGCCAGCCTGGTCTAGAAGAGCTAGTTCCAGGACAGGAACCAAAAGCTACGGAGAACCCCTGTCTTGAAAAACAAAAATATCTTAAACAAGGGTAGAAACATTTATAGGGTATGTTCTAACAAAAACAACCTTAAATTTGTATCAATATACACAAATCCATACCAGTATAAAATATTTAAGACTAGTAATTAATTTTTAGTCTAAAAGTAGATTTAGTAATCTGCCCTTTTATCCTATCGTTACCCTATCTCCCCTCTTTTCAAAATGAGATCCTTAACTCTAACCTCCCTTGTTTCTTTCCTTACCATGATCAGTAACAATTTGCAACCAATCCCCTATACAATGACTAACACTGAGTGACGGAAAACTACCCAGTCCACCTTTTGGGAATGTAGGCATCGTAGTTTTTAAAATTATTTCCTGTTGCCTGGAGATAACAGCATCTTCAGAGGACGCTGAGAAAATTGGGATATGGTCAAGTCCTGAGAGAGCTAGCTGTATTGTTTTTTGTTTAGTTTCTGAGTGGTGGGAAAGTATAAGCTCATCTGAAGTCCTGGCTTAATAGTCTGTGAGGCTGGACCATCTCAGCTAGCAGCTTTGAAGTTGTTCTGGATGCAGAATTTTGAGGAAACTGTAACAGAGGCATTCTAAGAGGCTGGATCACTTGGGCTACTTGTCATCATTAGCATCTACTCCCTTTCCCCCCCTGAAAATACATAAACTTTTAAAAAGTAACATATATATTATGTGTGTGTGTGTGTGTGTGTGTGTGTGTGTGTGTGTTTGTGTGTGTGTGTATTGACACAAGTACAGAATGTGTGGTATGCACAAGTCAGCGACAGATGATTTTTGTGTTATGTTTGAGCTAGTATAAGGCATCTGTTAACTCTATAAGTTTGTTTGGACTGTGTAACCATCTGTCCGTGCACTATGAAAGGATGACATGTAATAAGTCATGAGGAGTCTGTAGCCAAAGAGATTTATCATGTCTCATCCAGTCTCAGAACTCTTCCCATCGTAGAGGGATCAGCATATATGTCACCTGTCCTGTAGTTTTGGCTTTTATCCTCATGTTGGTAGCCAAAATCCTCAGGAGTTCTCCCCCAGTCAAATCTGAACTCTATTAACTTTGAAGGAAATCATAACTTATTGTTTCCCGTGGAAACAAAGACATGACTTCTCCCTCAAAGTATTCTTTGTCTTCCATTCTTAAAGTGAAGACATTCTTAAAATATATATGTTGGTTTAATTTAGCAGTTTCCATAATTCAGTGTCTCTCAGAAGCTATTTTTTGTACATTAGCATTTAAAAAATTCAAAGTCAAAAAGTACCATACAGATCCAGCACCTTGTATATTTTCCATCTTTACGTGGTGAATTGTGAAGTTTTGTTTTCCTAAATCTTTTAAAATATATTCTGTATTTTAGGTCGATTTGGTCAAACAACTCCTCCACTTGTTGATTTTCTCAAGGATATTTTAAGAAGATACCCAGAAGGAGGACAGATCCTTAAGGTAGGATATCTGTGGTTTGCTTCCAGAGCAGATAACTCAGTGTTTGTGTTTGATCTAGATTTGATTACCTTGCCTCCACAGTCACAGTGCATAGCTGAATGGAGTAGATTTGAGACTGCAGTTGGCATGAAGGGAGGAGGGCTTGGAGTATAGGACTCCACTAAGCTGCTGTATACTCTCTTTATAAACATGGTATCCTCTAGGAGTGCTTTTGTAGAGCACCCGGTTACATACACCAGCCACTAGTCAACCAACCAGTGGTTCAGCAGCCTAACACAGGGCCATGTTAGAGGCCAGGAACATATGCTTGCTTGGGATCTGAATTTAGAGCTTTGTTTCTGTGAGAGAGTTTAATAGCATAATTACTTACTTATTTATTTATTTATTTATTTATTTATATTTTACATACTCAAATATATTTTTTTCACAAGATGGAGTGGAACTCTCTGTGTAATTCAGGCTGACCTCAAACTCATAATGTTTCTACATCAGTCTTAGTGTTATGTTATGTTAGGGTTATGGACATGGCTTGTGATATGTTCTCTAAGTTTGAATATACTTATTAATAGAAAAACAAAAATTAAATAACCAAAAGAAAGGCAATGAAAGAAGATTTTGTGAAAATGAGTTTTGGTGTTTAATAAGAAACCTCTTGAATGAACTGGGACTGTAGATGAGTTGTTATGATCTCGTTATGCTCCCTTCCTGAAGCCCTCATTTCTCTTCTAGCCTACCAAAGCTTTAAGGTCTGTTAGCTTATGGAATCATGCTCAGATAGGCATGGAATAAAGGTTGTGCTGCCTCTTAAGGGACATTGGAGCAGCTTCAGTGTGCCTTTCAGAATGGTGTTCATAGAAGGCTAATTTGAGACCTGTTTTTTATATTGACTTCTGGAGTAATGAAGGGTATGATTATGGAGTTGTCATGTGACTGAGGTGGCCTGAGTGACCTGCATGAATTCAGAGTGAGGATTCAACTGTTGATTACAGGAACTGGGTCAGAAGTGAGGGAGTAGGATCTTTGCTAGGAATGAGTCTGAGCTTCCAGGAAGGTTTGTTAGGTGTTTAAAAGTATTTGGGGGTGGTGAGGACTGAGAATTTTGTTGATGTCTTGCCCTTTCCTTTCTATATCACAGGTTTCTGAGCACCTACCAGATCACTCACAATCCAACAAATGATTGATATTACTCTATTTATGAATGGTTCTCATCACTAAGATGCTTTCTGCCTGAGGCATGTCAGGTTGTCTAGAATATTGCTTATTAGGGTGCATGTAGACTAATACCCTTGAGTATCTAAGAGCATTTAAATTTGATAAACAAATGAGAACAATGGTCTGTTTTTGGAAGCTGTTTCAGCATAAGATACCTCAGAATAATCTGTATAGATCTTTGAACTAGAGTACTTTCCTTAGAACAAAGGCTTTGCATGGATTTGTTAGACTAAATGTTAGCACATTCAGAGCTGACTTGCGGGTGTAAATTTCTGGGAAAGACTTCCCAACTCCTGTGTATATAGGACTACTTTCAATAGGAACCTTACCAGAGCTTACCTTACCCATGGAGGTAGTGAGGTTTCTTCACTTTGATACACTTACATTTTAGATATTGTAGGTAAATACAGAGTTGGACAGTAGATGACTGTATTAATATAAATTTTTGGTATGTTTTATGGTTAGGAATTAATTCAGAATGCAGAAGATGCTGGAGCCACAGAGGTTAAATTTTTATATGATGAAACACAATATGGAACGGAGACTCTTTGGTCAAAAGATATGGCACAATATCAGGGTAAGAATAATTTGGAATAAATTTTATTATTTGTACTAATGATGATTTTTAATGATTTACAATGCTTTTAATGAACAGTGTGATTATCATTTGTACTTCCTGGCATGTTTAATTCAAGTGTTTTTGCTTTTTCTGCTTTTGTTTGGAAGATGTTTCTGCTAGTTGGTATATTTAAAGAAAAAAATAAAAATAAAATGGCTAACAATGTAATTATATAGCCTTCCATTTCTCTCAGTCAGTCTACACTTTATGTTATGAATAAGATAAAGGACACTACTTCTAAATAACTATCATTTCTTCTGCATTTGGAAAGAAGTTGTATATATATTGGTCTCTACGTTAGGGCTGCCCTTGTGCTGTGGGTGGGAACATAGACTTAATAGGAGAAGGGAAAAAGGAGGATGAGAGGGAAAGTAGTAAGAGAGCCATCACCTATAGACTTGCCGCCTGCTTGCACCCTGAAATGTTGAAAAATATGTATATAGCTTAGTTCATCTCAGCTCTGGAATTGATGGATGATTGTGAATACTTGTATATGATGGACAGTTACTGTGAAAAAGAAGTCTTAACTCATTTCTTAGATATATTTTAGGGACACATAAGTCACAAAATGATGTTTTGTGACAGTAACCATCATTGTTGTTAATTGAATATTTAACATTTATTGTAGTGGCTACAGTCATTCTGATGTCAGATTTCAGGCTTAACCGTAGTTCTTTCTTTGCATCTGTAAAGAGATGTATATGATGTGATAATCTCAGGAGACTAGCTCCCTGATTCTGATGTATATGATGTGATCATCTCAGGAGGCTAGCTCCCTGGTTCTGATGTATATGATGTGATCATCTCAGGAGGCTAGCTCCCTGGTTCTGATGTATATGATGTGATCATCTCAGGAGGCTAGCTCCCTGGTTCTGATGTATATGATGTGATCATCTCAGGAGGCTAGCTCCCTGGTTCTGAGTTCTGCCACTTTGCTGACTCTACTGCAGTCCTCTAGAGACTGATCTTTCAGTGGTGAGAGGATTAGCTTGTAGTTTCTTGGCTGTAATTTTATTATTTAATGTAGCCTCCTAGATGGATGTTCAGTTTGCATTCAGGGGTCTGCAGCAAGTCCTGGTCCCATACAGCCCTATCCACTGCACAGTTCCATAGGCAGTGGCACACTGGGCAGTCCCTGCCCACATAATAGTGATAGAAAGAGCAAGTTTTCTTGTAGTTATTCTGAGAAAGAACAGGATCCTAGATGTAATGGTGGTCATGCTTATGCCTAGGACATTCTGTTTTCACTGTCCTGATGTGCTGTGCTAGTGAGAACGTAGAGATCCTAGAAGCATTTCACTTCAAAATTCTGCCTCATGGCTTAAGTCTTTTTGCTTCCCATCTTTATTACACACACACACACACACACACACACACACTGAAATAGCTGTGTATAGTGGTACACTCTTTAAGTCCCAGCACTCGGAGGTAAAGGCAGGTGAGTTTCTGTGAGTTCCAACCTGATCTGTATAATGAGTTCCAGGCCAGCCAGAACTTAGAACTTCACCATCACAACCACCACCAAAAAACTCAGTCACATACCTTCCTCCTGTGGCTCAGGGATCATCTCAAAAGAGAAGGTGGAGCTGGGGACCCTGTAAGAGTCATGGCTGGAGGGACTGCAAGGTGAAGAATGAAACGTGAGTCAGCCTGGCCTTTGTAAGCTCTGGGTTACAAGTCCAGAGTCTGGCCTCAGGGTCTATGTCCCCTACGCATTTAAGAAAAAGGTCCCATGTGACTGTTATCACCACAGTAGAAACCCCTAGCAAAGTAGCAAAGTGCCTGTGACCTTTAGAATAAGAATGAGGTCTGTTGACTAATAAACAGAGCTCAGGCCAAGGGCCTAAAGAGGAAGGATTTGTAATAAATATAAGGATAGGTTCTATTGATGGAGGATGCAGAGTACATGGAACCTCTTTCTTTCTTTTTTTTGTTTCTTTTTGTTTATTTATTTATTAAAGATTTCTGTCTCTTCCCCGCCACCGCCTCCCATTTCCCTCCCCCTCCCCCAATTAAGTCCCCCTCCCTCGTCAGCCCAAAGAGCAATCAGGGTTCCCTGACCTGTGGGAAGTCCAAGGACCACCCCCCTCCATCCAGGTCTAGTAAGGTGAGCATCCAAACTGCCTAGGCTCCTACAAAGCCAGTACATGCAGTAGGATCAGAAACCCATTGCCATTGTTCTTGAGTTCTCAGTAGTCCTCATTGTCCGCTATGTTCAGCGAGTTCGGTTTTATCCCATGCTTTTTCAGACCCAGGCCAGCTGGCCTTGGTGAGTTCCTGATAGAACATCCCCATTGTCTCAGTGTGTGGGTGCACCCCTCGCGGTCCTGAGTTCCTTGCTTGTGCTCTCTCTCCTTCTGCTCCTGATTTGGACCTTGAGATTCCTGTCCGGTGCTCCAATGTGGGTCTCTGTCTCTGTCTCCTTTCATCGCCTGATGAAGGTTAATATTCAGGAGGATGCCTATATGTTTTTCTTTGGGTTCTCCTTCTTATTTAGCTTCTCTAGGATCACTAATTATAGGCTCAATGTCTATTTATGGCTAGAAACCAAATATGAGTGAGTACATCCCACGTTCCTCTTTTTGGGTCTGGCTTACCTCACTCAGGATAGTGTTTTCTATTTCCATCCATTTGTATGCAAAATTCAAGAAGTCCTTGTTTTTTACTGCTGAGTAATACTCTAATATGTATATATTCCACACTTTCTTCATCCATTCTTCCATTGAAGGGCATCTAGGTTGTTTCCAGGTTCTGGCTATTACAAACAATGCTGCTATGAACATAGTTGAGCATATACTTTTGTTGTATGATAGGGCATCTCTTGGGTATATTCCCAAGAGTGGTATTGCTGGGTCCAGGGGTAGGTTGATCCCGAATTTCCTGAGAAACCGCCACACTGCTTTCCAAAGTGGTTGCACAAGTTTGCATTCCCACCAGCAATGAATGAGTGTACCCAATTCTCCACAACCTCTCCAGCAAAGGCTATCATTGGTGTTTTTTATTTTAGCCATTCTGACAGGTGTAAGATGGTATCTTAAAGTTGTCTTGATTTGCATTTCCCTGATCGCTAAGGAAGTTGAGCATGACCTTAAGTGTCTTTTGGCCATTTGAACTTCTTCTGTTGAGAATTCTCTATTCAGCTCAGTGCCCCATTTTATAATTGGGTTGATTAGCCTTTTACGGTCTAGTTTCTTGAGTTCTTTATATATTTTGAAGATCAGATCTTTGTCAGTTGTGGGGTTGGTGAAGATCTTCTCCCAGTCAGTGGGTTGCCTTTTTGTCTTAGTGACAGTGTCCTTTGCTTTATAGAAGCTTCTCAGTCTCAGGAGGTCCCATTTATTCAATGAGGCCCTTAATGTCTGTGCTGCTGGGGTTATACGTAGGAAGTGGTCTCCTGTGCCCATGTGTTGTAGAGTACTTCCCACTTTCTCTTCTATCAGGTTCAGTGTGTTCGGACTGATATTGATGTCTTTAATCCATTTGGACTTGAGTTTTGTGCATGGTGATAGATATGGATCTATTTTCATTCTTCTACAGATTGACATCCAGTTTTGCCAGCACAATTTGTTGAAGATGCTCTCTTTTTTCCATTGTATACTTTAGTTCCTTTATCGAAAATCAGGTGTTGATAGGTTTGTGGGTTAAAGTCAGGGTCTTCTATTCAATTGCATTGGTCGACTTCTCTGTTTTTATGCCAATACCAAGCTGTTTTCAATATTGTAGCTCTGTAATAGAGTTTGAAGTCAGGGATGGTAACACCTCCAGATGATCCTTTATTGTATAAGATTGTTTTGGCTATCCTGGGTTTTTTGTTTTTCCATATAAAGTTGATTATTGTCTTCTCCAGATCTGTGAAGAATTTTGATGGGATTTTGATGGGGATTGCATTGAATCTATAGATTGCTTTTGGTAGAATTGCCATTCTTACTATGTTGATCCTCCCAATCCAAGAGCAAGGGAGGTCCTTCCATTTTCTGGTGTCCTCTTCAATTTCTTTCTTCAAAGACTTAAAGTTCTTGTCAAATAGATCTTTCACTTCCTTGGTCAGAGTTACCCCAAGATATTTTATGCTATTTGTGGCTATCGTGAAAGGTGATGCTTCTCTGATTTCCCTCTCTGTTTTCTTATCCTTAGTGTATAGGAAGGCAACTGATTTTTTGGAGTTGATCTTGTGTCCTGCCACATTACTAAAGGTGTTTATCAGCTGTAGGAGTTCTTTGGTAGAGTTTTTGGGGTCACATATGTATACTATCATATCATCTGCAAATAACGAAAGCTTAACTTCTTCCTTTCCAATACGAATCCCCTTGATCCCATTATGTTGTCTTATTGCTATTGCTAGAACTTCAAGCACTATATTGAAGAGGTATGGAGAGAGTGGACATCCTTGTCGTGTTCCTGATTTTATTGGGATGGCTTTGAGTTTTTCTCCGTTTAATTTAATGTTAGCTGTTGGCTTGCTGTAAATAGCTTTTATTATATTTAGGTATGACCCTTGTATCCCTAATCTCTCCAAGACCTTTATCATAAAGGGGTGTTGAATTTTGTCGAATGCTTTTTCAGCATCTAAGGAAATGATCATATGGTTTTTTTCTTTCAGTTTTATTTATATGGTGGATTACATTGATAGATTTTCATATGTTGAACCAGCCCTGCATTTCTGGGATGAAGCCTACTTGATCATAATGGATAATTTTTCTAATGTGTTCTTGGATTCGGTTTGCCAGTATTTTATTGAGAATTTTTGTGTCGATATTCATGAGTGAGATAGGCCTGTAATTCTCTTTCTTGGTTGGGTCTTTGTGTGGTTTTGGTATCAGGGTAACTGTAGCTACATAAAAGGAATTTGGCAATGACTTTTCTGTTTCTATATTGTGAAATACATTAAGGAGTATAGGTATTAGCTCTTCTTGGAAGTTCTGTTAGAATTCTGCATTGAAACCATCTGGTCCTGGGGTTTTTTTGGAAGGGAGATTTTTGATAACAGTTAAGTCCCCACTGTATGCTTTCTCCATTTTCTTTAAGTGGGCACTTAGTGCTATGAACTTTCCTCTTAGCACTGCTTTCATCGTGTCCCATAGGTTTGAGTATGTTGTCTCTTTATTTTCATTAAATTCAAAGAAGACTTTAATTTCTTTCTTAATTTCTTCCTTGACCCAGGTGTGGTTCAGTAGTTGACTGTTTAGTTTCCATGAGTTTGTCGGCTTTCTGGGGGTAGCATTGTTGTTGCCTTCTAACTTTAATCCGTGGTGATCTGATAAGACACAGGTGGACAGTGATATTTTTTTGTATCTGTGGAGGTTTCCTTTGTTTCTGAGTATGTGGTCAATTTTCGAGAAGGTATGAAACCTCTTTCTTAAGGATAGATTCTACTCATTGAGTGACTCAGCTCAGAATAAGGGCCTGAACAATGCTCAGGACTTGGGGGACTCAGGCAGGCTGGGTCCATAGAACCCACTCCAGCTGGAGCATCCACTCCAGCTTTCCAGGTGACCAGGCATCAGTCCTTCTTCCTTTGAAGAAAATAGGCCTGAATGTTTAATAAGTCTGGTTTCTCCTATGGAAGTGTGAAGATTGTAAAAGCCAGAAGCAGTGACGCATATGACAGGCATTCACTATGTGAACCTACAGCAGCCATGACTGCATGCACAAGCTCAAGCCTGATGGTGTTCCAGGACAGGGAGGGGAGGTGGTCAGGAAGTCCTGTCCCTAGCCGAGGAGCTCTTATCTTTCCTGTTGACTCTAGGAGGGAAGATCTCTTTTCCTTCCCCTGGTGGTCAGCTGTAATGCTGGTAACCATGCTGAACTTCTTAATTCCCTTCTCTAGATCTTAAAGTTATATAGATCTTTCTAGATTCTGACAAGAAGTTCACTCCTGGGCCCGTTGTGTGATCTTTCCTTTTGTGTCTTGTACTTTTAGTAAACAGGGAGCAGGTAGAACCACAGAGTATTTGACAGATGTCATTTTAAGTGAACCGTGGTTAGCTGATAGATAATAACAAGTCATTCATTACTATTTTTGCATACTTACTGTATCATAATAGAAATAGCTAGCAGTTTAAGGGCTCTTCTCTTTGGTGTATGCTGGGGGGAAGCTTGAGTAATACCACAGTGGATCCTTTGCACTCCCCTGTGGGGAGATAAAGCTCTGATCTCAGTACAGATGAAGAGGCTGAGCCTGTGCTGTGATTGGTGACAGTGGATCTGGTGACACCAGACTCCCTTGACTCCTGAGTAGTTTTTCATAGCTGTGTGCTTGTCCTTTTCAGAATATCAGCCTTGACCAACTTCATGTCCTGACTTCGATTACTATAAAGATAGCAGTTGCACTAATTAAAAGAAAAAAAAAGACCAGGCCAACATTCCATATTTAAAGAAGCATAAGGATATGTTCTTTGGATATTCGGAATCTCCATATAGTTCATTAGCATGGAGGCTGCACAGATCAAAGAGTACACATATAGATTCTGTGCCTAATTGTGTCTGTGTTATTCTTGAAAACACTGATGATATTTAAAGAGTAATGAGTTGATATAGTTACTTATATTCAGAGAATGTTAGGACTTCTGAAAATGAGTCTCAAAGAATGCCGAAGTATTTGCTCATAATTACACATACAATATATTATTAAAGAAATCACTTTGGAGATAGCATTGTAATTCCAAGTAATTTATTTAAATATTTACCATGACTATTTAAATTACACAATGCTGTGAATATAAATTAAGTAAAGCAAAATCAAAAACATACAACCCAAATATTTAAAAGATGATTATTAGCATTAGTAAGGAATTAATTTTTGCTTTATGAAAAAATACAGTGACAAAGTCTTTTTTGGTTGTAGGTTTCCTTAATGCATTGTTTTGCATGTCTTAGAGAATGATCTATGCTTGCCATACTTTCAGCTTTAAATGGATGTGTTTATTCAGTATACATAAAAAAGTAAAAGAATAAATAGCAACAGATAGGAGATAGATAGATAGATAGATAGATAGCAAAACATCAGGTCACTTGCTGAAAACATCCAGCAGAGACCTACTGAGGAATCCCCTTTATGACAGTCAGCTGGAGTTCCCAAAAGAGAGTCCCAGGCAGAGCAGAGTTCTCCTCAGGATGGGTGTCCAAGTAAAAGAACAAATAGCAACTGCTGGAGATGTTGTCATCAAACTGGACACAACATCCAACAGAAAATGACCAGGGAAGTTGAAACAATCAGACTGGAATTCCCCACTAAATGTCCTCTCCATGGGTGAGCTTCTCTTTCCCACTTCAGAACTTTTTTTTATATGATGGGACAAACAGCAGTAGCATTGGTTAGAAATACTTTACCTTCTAGTTATTCTCCAGAATACACCATTTTTACTCGTGGAGCGTTTTGCTGTTCTTATCCCTTCCTGTCACAGAGTTAGGGGCCTCAGCCTATCCTCACAAGAGGCCTTGGAGAGGACACTGACACAGCATTCTTGGGTCTAAAGTGGAAGGGGTCAGATCCCAGAGCCAGCTTCTTGGTGAACTCCAACAGCACATAACAGTTTATCAAGCTGATGTATGCTGCACACATTTTCTAGAAATTCCCTCTACAAAGAATAACTTGAATATGCAATTTAGAAGTTTTAACAGAGGATGGTGCACTGTGGTAATATTCTTGTCTGATCTGTAGTTTTTGTTGCTTACGTTCCATAATTCTTGTAATTTCCTGACAATTTACTTCTCTGGATGTTAGCTTTTTACCAAGTTTTTTTTTTCTATTTTTATTGTGAAAACAATTGGAATAATAATGCAGAATTTAGTCGCTGTGCTCACTTGTCTCTATTTTCTCATCAAATAAGTTGTTTTTTTTTGTTGTTGTTTGTCTGGATGAAGCTCTTGGAACGGAGCTGACCATACATCTTGCTGAGTGTCTGCCTGTGCATTTCAATACCCAGGGTCGGCTCTCTATGTGTACAACAATGCGGTTTTCACCCCAGAGGACTGGCATGGTATTCAAGAAATAGCAAGAAGCAGGAAAAAAGATGATCCTTTGAAGGTTGGAAGATTTGGAATTGGGTTTAATTCTGTCTACCATATAACAGGTGCAGTATTGGCTGTGGGCAAGTGGGGAGTAAACTCAGCCAAACTATAGATAAATTTTGGTAAATCTACTGTATTATATTAACATTAATATTTAATATTGACCATGCTACATATTAAATTATATTGTTATATAGTAAAACGTAGCTGTTACACATGAATCTTCATATTTTATTTATATATTTACCTTTTGGAAGTTCACCTTTTCATGGCTCCAGGTGATGGTTTATAAATGTTGAAGCACAGTTGAGGATTGTATAATATAGAGACTACTGTGCAGGAATTTAGAGCAGGCCTGTTACCCTGTGTGTGCAGCTCAGTGTTATTTTGTCCCCTAGTTAACAGTGAACACATTGATGTGAATCATTTGTGGGAAGGCTCTTTGTAATCTGAAGATTTGAGAAAGCCATAGGTTATGCTTTTCCAATATCAAGAGTCTCTCTGAACTGATTTCAGTGTGAGTATGTGGCATCATGTAAAGGGACTAAGGACAAATATTTTTTAGATTGTCTTGTTGATGGATCTAATGGACATACATTTGCTACTTAAGATACATAAGAATTTAGACGTTTTTGATTGTCCCAATTGAACTGGCATCTGACAACCACAGATACTAAAGAGCTGACAGACTTTACTAGAGTTACATTGAGTGTGAAGATTAGGGGCTAAAGTCTGCATGAAAGACAAAACACATCAGAATTACCCATAGGAAGTCCTTTGAGTAGAACCATGGATAAAAGTTTCTTTCAGAGTAATAAATCACACTTTAGTTCTGCCATGGTTGAAATATCACTGTATTTAGTTGAGGAACAGAAGAAACAGTTGACGTCAGTCTAAAGGCCATGTGGTAAGATGTGGATCTTTAAGAACTGGCAGTACACATTGTGTGAAATTAACTAGGAAAGTTAATTTCTCACTCGGTATAGAGTCTGTGCTTGCTGACCTACATGGCAATGGAATAACCTGCATTGTCAAAGTCAACAGTTGAATCTTTAATTTTGAACATAAATGGTAACTCCTTTCTTTCTAGCTGGATTTATCTGGCAGTTAGTACTGAGTATATGTCTAAATAGTGTTTATATCTTCCACTTGTTGAATATTTAAAGATACAGCACATATTTTCACAAAAATCATGGAAGTTTCTATAACTGCCTCTTACTAGATTGGCTCAAACCAGAAACTGTTATGCCTCACTTTCAAAGTATTAAGTCACTTGCTTTTGAGGAATTTCATGTGTCATGCTATTTCTTATGTAATATTTTGATGGTAGTTATTTCATTATGGCAGCACTTAAAATTGTTCATTGAGTTTCTTAGTTGGTTATGCCTTGGTTTTCATTTCTACAGATGTTCCTTGTATCTTTAGTGGTGACCAGATAGGAATGCTAGATCCTCATCAGACACTTTTTGGCCCCCATGAATCAGGCCAATGTTGGAATCTCAAGGATGACAGCAAAGAAATGAATGAGCTTCCGGATCAATTTGCACCCTTCATTGGCGTTTTTGGAAGCACCAAGGAAACATTTGCAAATGGCAGCTTTCCAGGGACATTTTTCCGCTTCCCTCTTCGCTTACAACCTTCTCAGCTTAGCAGCAATCTCTACACTAAGCAGAAGGTTCTGGAGTTGTTTGACTCTTTCAGGGCAGATGCAGACACAGTGCTGCTCTTCCTGAAGAGTGTACAGTCTGTATCTTTACATGTCCGAGAGGCCGATGGGACAGAAAAACTGGTATTTAGAGTGACTGCTAGTGAGAATAAGACCCTGAAACATGAACGACCGAATTCTATCAAGATTCTGGGAACGGCCATAAGCAACTATTGTAAAAAGATCCCAAGCAACAGTATCACCTGTGTAACATATCATATAAACATAGTTCTGGAGGACGAGAGCACAAAGGATGCCCAGAAGACGTCTTGGTTGGTGTGTAACAGTGTGGGTGGGCGAGGCATTAGTAGTAAACTGGATTCTTTGGCTGATGAATTGAAATTTGTCCCAATCATTGGACTAGCCATGCCTTTATCAGGCAAGGATGATGAAGAAAATGGAGCAATATCTGATTTCTCAGGAAAAGCATTTTGTTTTCTTCCTTTACCTCCTGGTGAGGAAAGCAGAACAGGGCTTCCAGTTCATGTCAGTGGCTTCTTTGGCCTAACTGACAACCGCAGGAGCATAAAATGGAGAGAGTTGGACCAATGGAGAGACCCTGCAGCCTTGTGGAATGAATTTCTTATTGTGAATGTTGTTCCCAAAGCTTATGCTACTCTGATCCTAGACTCAATAAAACGCCTGGAGACAGAAAAGAGCTCCGATTTCCCCTTGTCAGTGGATGCCATCTACAAACTTTGGCCTGAGGCCGGCAAAGTCAAGGCACACTGGCAGCCAGTGTTGGGGCCTCTGTTTAGTGAGCTATTCCAGCATGCGGTGATCTATTCCATTAGTGGTGAGTGGGTAAAGCTGGAGCAGGTGTACTTCTCAGAACTTGATGGAAGTCTAGAATACACACAGTCTGTGCTCAACTACCTCCAGAGCTCAGGGAAGCAGATTGCCAAGGTACCAGGGAACCTGGCTGCCGCTGTTCAGCTCAGTGCAGCCTCCGCCACCTCCACTGCGACTCCTGTGAGGAAGGTAACACCTACATGGGTGCGGCAGGTGCTGAGGAAGTGTGCACACCTGGGCAGTACTGAAGAAAAGCTTCATCTTCTAGAATTCGTGCTTTCTGACCACGCCTACAGTGAGCTGCTTGGGCTCGAGCTGCTGCCTTTACAAAGTGGGGCTTTTGTCCCCTTCTCCTCATCTGTCTCCGATCAGGATGTTGTTTACATCACCTCAGAAGAGTTCCCAAGGTAGATACTATGTGACTCAGACACTGGCTGCTCCAGGGAGTGGGGGGCTGTCCTGTCCACAGGGTTCTTGACTGCAGATCCACCAGTTATCTGTAGGTTGTGTGGTAAGGAGGGCTTTTCATGAAACGTTAAAAGATAAAATGTTATACTTTAAAAGGAAAAGGTATAAGAACTGGGTTTATTGCCTTGTGTCTCTAGTCCCAGCTGTTTGGGAGGTAAGAAGGGCCACTTGAACCTGGGAGTTCCAGGACAACACAATAACACTTTTTCTCAAGAAACAATTGCTCTAGTAGCTAATTTTCAGTCACAACACTGAAAACAATATTATAAGGTACTAATAGAGGTAGGATTAGTTAGTAGAATTACTTTGATGAAATTTAAAATAGTATGTGAAAAAATTATTTCTTTGTATTTTTATTTTTTTATTATTATTTTTTTTAGAGCCACATTTGACAAACATATTGCGTATCTATCTGCTCTATTCTGTACGCTGCACAAACCACCTGTTGAAAGGCCCTCCTGTGACACTGCCTTCAATAGATGGCATTGGGCTTAATACAGAGTGTGAGTGTATAGCCCAGCCTAGCCTGGAAAGCAGTTTTCCTTCTTCAGCCCCAGATGCTAGGGTTACAGATGTGCATCATCCTACTTAGCTTTAGCAACTAAGTTTCTATAGCTAAGGGAACATGTTGACATTTCATGGAATAAAATTTGTTTTATTGTTAGGTATTTAGACTTTTTGAATTGACTTGGTATATGATACCTTCGTATTTTAAAGCAAAGCCTAGATAATATTGTAGTTTGACGTGATGTAATTCGTGTAAAATGAAATAGCAGGTTTAACTGACTTGAAATTCTATGGTGGACTTTTTTAACCTTAGAATTGTTAGAATTGTAACTGCTCACACCTCTCACGTTCTAGGTCCCTTTTCCCAGGTCTTGAAGCAAGACTTATTTTGGAGAACTTGAAGCCTCACCTTCTAGCTGCTTTAAAAGAAGCTGCCCAGACCCGAGGTATAGTAGCCATTTAGTGCTTTTCTTAAACAACCTACTTTATAGAAATGTGAAAGGTTTTTACAAGATTTTTTTCTAATAACTGTCTATTTTACACCTATAAATCTGAGTTCTTATGGCTCAGCCTAGAAGAATTGTTCAGTTGAAGATGTGTCAGGAGCCGTTCTAGTGTCTAAAAGATAACAAAGGTGATGTCACTGAGAACCTCATGCTGAGGCTGTTGGTGGTGGGCATTTGCAGGATGTGTATCATAGCCTGCACAGTGCTTTTGTTTTGTTTTGTTTTTCCCAGACCTTCCTATCCTCAGATCTTGCAGCATGTGTGATAATGAGGAAACTGATTATTAGTTCAATTTCACAGATGAGAGGAAAAGGTTAAGTTTGGGGTTTTCAGATGAGGGGTTCTACCCTGTCTGCCTTGTCTACTGTACCACATCCTGACCCGTTTATAGTATTCTGGGTGATCCTATTAGCTACCAGATGTGATCAACTTTCAAGAAATGTGTACCCATCCAACCCCACAGCACTGTAGGCAAGGGGACTGCGGAGACCTAAGAAACTCACTGAGGCCCTATATTGGGAATGATTTTCAGGAAATAACAGTAATTTGGAGGGAAAATTACTATAGTTCTGACTTTAATTCTATCTTTCGATTTCTGAAAACATTCCTTCACTTATAAAACTATTATCTAGAATTTTCCCAAGTTAGATATTTGACCCCCCAAATTTCAGAATTTGTCTTACCAAGAAGCTTATTCTTTGTGATCTATCAGAGACATGAATTTTTCCTTTCAAGGAAAAGTGGTTAATCATTATATATCTTTATTCATTAAAATATTCATGAAAGGATTTGGGATTTGTCAGAGAAATGAGGTTGGGGTTAAAAGTGAGACGATGACTGAGCCTGAAATGCTTGCTGCCACGAGGATCTGTGCATATTGAGAGCTGCAGTGACGGACACTGTGTGTGGCCAGCATCCATCCAGATGACTCATCTTTGTAAATTGTGCATTTCAGGAAATACTTATGAGGTATAGAAATGTAGATTCTCTCCCTCCCTTCTATACATTTCTTGATGGAGAACCTTCTAGCTTTTTTAACCATACAATATATATTATTATCTATAGTTACCCTACTGTACAGTAGTACCCAGAACGTCTTACTCTGATATGTAGCAATACTGGCTGACCAACCTCTGTTTATTCCATACATTTCATCCCGCACTCTGGTAACCACAGAGAAAGCGTGGGAGGTGCTCATGATCTAGGTATAATAGATAAATAAAAGATAGCTGGGGAAGAAGTCCTGCTGTACGGCTGACAGTGTAGCATGCTGGAACAGTAGTCTGTCCTACTGTTATACAGATCTCTGCCCAGTGCTTGGAAGGCACTCTGAGACTTCTGTCTTCTGCCTGGGGCGAGTCTCATGTTTGCAGACCCGGCACTGAACTCCAGAGCGATGTTCTGGCCTAGTCTTCCTAGAATACTTCCTAGTGGATGGAGTTGTTGCCATCTCTTTATTGCCCAAGTGTGGGAGAGGGGTCCAGGAGGCAGCCCTTGAGCCACATAGTAAAATGTGATTCTATAGGCCTGAGAGGTCTATGGGTCTATGTAGCATGGGGGAATGGTCTTGGAGTTCTCATGGTGGGTTTGGTAATGGGCTTCAAGTCCAAGGCCTTGTCTCAGTTACTTCCCCCTTCCTTAGTTAGGAGACATCATTGTGATGAGTATCTTCTATTGTTTGCTCTCCACAACCCTTAGCTAGCAGAGCCTGTCATCTCTACTTGAAAAGCTCAAGGAAATGAAAGACTTTAGATAACTTGAAATTCAGAGTTAGAACCACCATTTTGTTTTTGTTCTTTCTCATTTTATTTGCAAATTAGATTATTTACAGTTTAAATTACATGAGTTAAAGGATTATTATCAGAAATTAAGTGCGAGGTGAATGGATAGAAAATTCTGCCAGGAAATGGGTTTTAGATGAAAAAAAAAACCTAGAAAAAAAAAGTATTTGAGTAGACAAATTCCCAGTGGGGTGGTGCTAGGATCATATTTACATGTTTCTTAATTTTCAAGATACTTTTTATTAGATGAGTTTACGTGCTCTTACAATTAGTGACTCAAGAGTTGTCCTTAAATGTTTGTTTTCTGTATATAATAAGCATTGTGCCAAATGAAATTAATAAATGGATGAAAAAAATCACAGCTGCATGAGGATATGGATATCAGTCAGCACTGTCGTTCATGCATTGGCCCTGCTGAGAAGGGTCCTGCTGAGCTGGGCGGCAAATCAGGGATGGATTTTGTATTCTGTGTAGACACACAGGGGAGAGACTTCATGTTTCAGGCACAGCCATGTTTTCAGTGATGACTTTGACACAACTTTATCATGATGTACACTATTTATTGAAAAGATAATGACCTCATATGCATGTATACAAATCTTTAGAAAATGTTGTATTTTTATTGCTAGCTTCTGGCATACAGATAGCTGTATTTTACACAAGACTTGTACTGTGACGATGTTTGGAACTCCCACACCCAATGTTTTTTGTTGGGAAAAAGGACCATGTGCTGTTCTAAGCCTGCCTTTGCCAGAATTCAGGCTACTGCCATCTCTCCCTGAAACGCAGGAGAACCCGGTATCTCTCAAAGCCATTCCTACTTCTCTAGTCAACACAGCATTGTGAGAACTTACCTTTCTAGAACATTGTTTTCTATCTCTTATCAAAAAAAAATCTTTTAAAGACTTCTTGGTTTTCTTACTTAAAAAAAGGCCATGTCGTTGACATTGTCCATGAGATTTTTTTATTACCTAGTTTTGTCTTATTCTGGGTGTTTAAAGATGCCTGGTATACAGGACTGCTAAATCAGCGTTTGCTGTTACCAAAACTTTTTGTTGGTTTTGTTTTCCCCCTGATCATTTTCATCTTTAAAGAGCACTTATTCAGACATTTGATTGTTTTCCTATGCCCACCCCCTTCATCTCGTTTCATGTAACCTATGTGTGCTTCTGTAACACTGAACACAACGCAGCACCACACACCTGCACTTGTGTAGTTACTTATAATCCTCTCTCTAACCTGCCTTCCTCATCAGATACAAAGTCTGAGGACATGTCTAGGTGTTTATTTCTAGCTATCCAGCACTTGTATTGCCTGCCTGGCAAATGCTGCTGGTGAGGTAATCATTCTGATGAGACTTACAGTCCCTGTCTTAGCCTTGAAATCGAGTCCCAGGTACCCCAGTGCACAAATGTAATTCCACAAAGGTGCAGCGGTATACTTGATGGGATGAATGACAATTTTTAGAACATTGTGGTTATTGGTGGTTATCAGAAGCAAGCAGTAGGATTTGTTTGATAAATTCACCTTTCCTTATCATAAACTGAGCGTTACATGTATAGATATTAAAGCACTTATAAAAATTCTATTCTTCCTTTCTCAGTTCTCTAGGCCCTTTGTTTGATGATGATGGCCTGTGAGAAAGCCCATGGTTAGCCTGCAGGCTGCTGGGAAGGCCCCGTGATCTGTGCTTATAAACAGACACTCTCCTTTTTTGCTGCTCTGAACTAAGTCTTAGTTCTTACAGAGTTTAGGTTAATTTGCATCTGAATAGATCTTTAATCGTAAAGCATTCACTGTTTAGAGCTTTGTTTTTGCCTCTTCTTTTGCATAATGCTGTGTGGAGAGTCTATAGACACCGTTGCCTTAAAAAGTAATTTCTGTAGTGAGCTTGTGAAATATTGAATGTTCTGGCCTTTCTAAGAATGGATTTAATTATATTCTAGCACAGCAGCTTCTCTGGGGATACTCAGGTAGGATCACTGACTGAATGTTGTGTTCATTTGATTGATTGTCATTTGTTGGTTTGTTGAATCCTGTGTTGTTGTTTTGTTTTTAACCTAAATAGCTAGAAATTATGTCAACTTTTTTTTTTTTTTGCTGGAAATAACTTTAAAGGAGAGAGGAAACTACTAATATAGGCCTTTGTTTTGCAAACACTGATAGAAAACACATTTGTATGACTTGAAAATCTTCATTTCATAAATAGTCTCAAATGAAAGATACATTACACTGCTTACATAGGAGAATGTGGCATGAATGCACTTCTGTTATACACGCAAGTGCTCAGAGGAGAAATGCAGGGAGGAGAGCATTCTGGGAACTGTTAGGATTGTAGCCCAGTGTGGAGATTGGTGGGAGTAGGAAGCCCTGTCTAGCTACAGAGCACTAAAATGGCCAGTCTGCTTTCATTAAGGACACTCAGGTGACCTGACAATGCTGGGCATCTCATTTTATTATTTTCCTACTCTTTTTGTTTTGCTTTAATAGATATCCTTATTTTTTATATTTTCCCAAGTTCATGTTTTACTTGGAAATTTAAGGGATGTAATATTTGATTAATAGGAATTGTTTTTACATATATATCCTTTGAAGCAGGATATATATATATATATATATACATATATACATACATTCACACACATACATATATATACACACATATATGATTAGTTTAGAAACTAAGTCATTATTAGAGTGACAGTTTTTGTAAATATTAAATTTGTATTAAAGGTATCTAATACTTTATCAATAGCCCTTATATTGGGAAAGTATAGTGAAAGAGGCAGTAAAGTCCTGATGTAAGTAGCTACCCTGTTACTGCCTGCCCTGGGGTTCATTGCATTTGGTTACTGAATCTCTGTGCTGTATCTCCTATTCAAGTCCAAGCCAAGCCTGATAGTAGATGTGTGTAATACCAGCTGTTCCTGAGGCTAAGGTAAGAAGATTGTAAGTTTAAGGCCAAGATGAACTACAAAGTGAGTTTAAGGCCAGCCTGGGGCAAATTAGTGAGAATCTATGAAAAGTAAAGTAAAAAGAGAATTGGGATATAGATCAGCGGTAGGGTTTTTGCCTAGCTTGCATGTGACCTTGTAGTCAGTGCCCAGTATTACAAGAAAAACAACAACAAAAGGCCAAGGCAAGATGTCAGTGGCAGAGTAGCAGTGCAGACTTTCTGGGAAGCAGTGGGCCATTAGAACTAGAATAAGATGCTTCTGAAAGGCCCAGGGGCCTATAGCACCACATCTAGACTTGAGTGCTGAACTGCCTCTTCCTTTTCTTTCCCCAGCTCCCTACCTTGGTCTTTTTTTTTTTTTTAAAGATATGACTGATATACAGTAATCATTTAATTGGACGTTTGCCGTTTGTGTCTTTACAAGGATTTGCATCTTCTATACAGTGGTGAATTATTAGAATTTACCAGCCATCAAAGTTGCCTTTGCCACTGTGTATCAGAAAGCAAAAAAGGAACTGCCATCTACACAGTGCCTTAGTTAGCTTTGTCTAGTAGAATGCACCTCTGAAGGAGCTTACTTAAAGCACTTGGAATGAAAACATCATTGTTAAGACAAGTTTTACAGTGACTGATAGTTCCTCTTTCTGACCATGAGCATTTATTCTCTAAGTTAGCAAGGAATGTAGACATGTAAATAATGGAAAAAAATAGTACAGTCTCTGAGCAGATAGTGGTTGTATCAATATTGTTTCCAGTATCTAAGAGATGGACTCATCTATGGCCAACCAAGCCTATGTACAAGGATTCTTCTTAAGTTAAAGTTGAATGTACCTGGTAATAGTTTGCTGACCCTAGGGACATTTTTTCCAGAAGGATAGTTAGATATGTTTTGACATTGCTGATAGTTGTGAAAGCCTCAAAGCCCACAACTCATTTATTAAATTGCTTACAAATTGTTTTGCTCATCCTAGTAGCAGTGCTTTAGAAGGGAGGGCATGGAGACGACTGTGCGAACATTTATACTTCTGGGTTAAAAGCTAACTGTCTTCAGTACAGAGTGCCTAGAATTTGGGACTTCTGCCTGAATTAACTTAATCTACTTAGAGTTGTGCCTTTTTACATTTTCTCTCTCCTTTACTTCCTAATGTTTTTCCAGTTGAGCATGACTGATATGTTAGTTGCATGCTATATGTGAGGTGTGTGTGTCTTGACATTTTACTTGTAATTCATACCAAATAATTTTCCTAAAGGTAAGTAAGTATGTTTTGTAAATTGTCAAATTTTATGCCAGGATATTATGCAGGATTATCTACTGAATGCATGTGATATGGCAGTTTACATGAAACATACATGGTACATATTTTAAAATTTTGCTTTCTGGGTATTCTGAATTTTAATTTTCAACATTTTTATATCTTCAAAATTATGTTTTTGCTTTACTTATGACTTAGATATTCAGTTATAGCTAATTCTGTTCAGTAATCACTTTAAGAAACATTATTATAGAATTAATTTTATAATTTTAATTTGCTCCGTAACCCAAGGAAACTACATTGGTTGTATTGCTGACACTTTAATTTTTAAAAAAATTACTTGAATTCTTCTGTCACATGACGTAGAAACTGAAAATGTTCTGAATCTGGGTATTATCAGTCTCTTGATGTTTCCAAAGTGTGTCTTTGCTGGGACTTCTGTGGCAGTGGTTTGAAAGTGGCATGGTGGGGATTTTGGAGTAGAGAGTAAACCTTTGAAACAAACATGTCCTGCCTTGATTCAAAAGTACTAGGATAGGGAGAGGGAAGGGTGGGAATGAGATGACTACAATATCTTTAAACTGAAGTCCTGATTTCTAGCTGCTTTATACTGAAGACATTTAGCTTTTAACACTGAAGTATAAATATTCACACAGGAGTCTCCATGCCCTCCATTAGAAGGCCTCGGAAGCACCTCACATATGATCTTATCAAAAAAAAAAAAAAGCTATATACAAAAGTCCCAAGAGCCTGAGGTATACCTCTTGTTACACCATTTCCCAAAATTGCTCATAAGGGTCTAGAAGTCATTTGCACATAGGGGAAAGATAAATGTTAGTTTCCATGGAATTGATTTTGAGATTTCTTTTATTTCTCTATAAGAGCAAATACATACCTACAGGTATGTAGTTTTCTATTTTGTTGTTACTGATGTTAAATATCAAAAATACTGTGACATACGAAATATACTTTAAAAATGTTAATTTTAGGCAATCTGTTAAGATAAGCAACTGTTCCCCGAAGGAGGCGAAATTCTATTACTCTCCTAGTTTGCAATCATCCAGAAATAGAGTTGTTTTGGCGGGAAGAAATACCTGCCCTGGCAGCAACACCCCACATGTTTAGTTTGTTTGCCCTGAAACTTTTCTACAAAATCCCTGGTTCTACAGAGCACACTTTAATAAAATCAACCTTGGCCAAACTGTAGCTGTGCTCGTAGAGAACAGTCTGTGAAGAGCCTCATCCCCCCCATTGCTTTTCCAGGTGAACAAGTTTAAATCTCTGAGACATTAGCTGACACCCAATTGCATATCTGATTAGAGTGGCTAATAGGAAATTCCATAAGGGCCACTGCTACTTGCATTTTAGAAAGTGTTAGCTGCTAAAAAGGAAACTGCAGCCCCTGTGCTCTGAATTTGAGCCCTTCTCTTCCTATACAATCATGCAGGTGAGGTGCCAAAAGTACTTGTATTTGTATTGGGCCTGCTTATCAATGTTTATACATTAAATGAAAAAAATAAGTAAATTTTATTTGCATTTTGTTTGGGACTTTTACTTGTGGACAACTAAGCATTACACATTGCTTTTCATGTTGATTCCATTTGCAGAACACTATATACCTTTGAATATGTATTTGATGATTTTTTTAAATAAAATAAGCCTTTGTGTAGAAAATGGCTTCTTTTAGAAGTCATTATAAGCATTATTTTCTGTATAGACTATCATTTTAAAACTACTTTAGTTATACTGAATTTTTGCATTTTCTTCAAACAACTTCTTAGTACCTTCTTAAACGTGAGACTAGAAGAGCTTAGAGTTGTGCGTAACATTTCTGTGTGTGGTTTACAGGAAGACCGTGTACTCAGCTGCAGCTTCTAAATCCAGAACGATTTGCACGTCTTGTTAAGGAAGTAATGAATACATTCTGGCCTGGCAGAGAGTTGGTGGTTCAGTGGTATCCATTTAGTGAAGACAAGCACCACCCGTCCATTTCATGGCTTAAAATGGTTTGGAAGAATCTCTACATACATTTTGCAGAGGATTTGACTTTATTTGATGAGATGCCACTTATCCCCAGAACTACACTGGATGAAGATCAGACGTGTGTGGAACTCATTAGACTCAGGATCCCATCAGTAGTCATTTTAGATGACGAAACTGGAGCTCAGCTTCCAGAATTCTTAGCAGATATTGTACAGAAACTTGGGGGTATTGTCCTAAAAAGGTTAGATACCTCTATTCAGCATCCTCTTGTTAAAAAATACATCCATTCGCCACTACCGAGTGCCATTTTGCAGATAATGGAGAAGATACCACTGCAGAAGTTATGTAACCAAGTAGCATCATTACTTCCAACCCACAAAGATGCTCTAAGAAAGTTTTTGGCCAGCTTGACTGATACCAGTGAAAAAGAGAAAAGAATAATTCAAGAATTGACAATATTCAAAAGAATTAATCACTCATCTGATCAAGGGATTTCGTCTTACACTAAATTAAAAGGATGTAAAGTTTTGGATCATACTGCCAAACTTCCAGCAGATCTGCGACTGTCTCTTTCTGTCATAGATAGTAGTGATGAAGCTACCATTCGTTTGGCAAACATGTTGAAAATTGAAAAGTTAAAAACTACAAGCTGTTTAAAGTTTGTTTTAAAAGATATTGAAAATGCATTTTATACCCAGGAAGAAGTAACACATCTTATGCTGTGGATCCTTGAGAATCTATCCTCTCTTAAAAATGAGAATCCGAATGTGCTTGATTGGTTGATGCCACTAAAATTTATTCATATGCCACAGGAGCGTATGGTAGCAGCCAGTGAACTCTTTGATCCTGATATAGAAGTACTAAAGGATCTCTTTTGTAATGAAGAAGAAGCCTGTTTCCCACCTGCAATTTTTACCTCACCAGATATCCTTCACTCTTTGAGACAGATTGGCTTAAAAAATGAAGCCAGCCTGAAAGAGAAAGATGTTGTGCAAGTGGCAAAAAAAATTGAAGCATTACAGGTCAGTTCTTGTCAGAATCAGGATGTGCTCCTAAAGAAAGCCAAAACCCTCTTACTAGTCTTGAATAAAAACCATACACTCTTACAGTCTTCTGAAGGGAAGATGACACTGAAGAAAATAAAATGGGTTCCAGCCTACAAGGAAAGGCCTCCAAATTATCCAGGTTCCTTAGTCTGGAAAGGGGACCTCTGTAATCTTTGTGCACCTCCAGATATGTGTGATGCAGCACATGCAGTTCTAGTGGGCTCCTCACTTCCTCTTGTTGAAAGTGTCCATGTAAACTTGGAGAAGGCTCTAGGCATCTTCACAAAGCCTAGCATCAGTGCTGTCTTAAAACACTTTAAAATTGTTGTTGACTGGTATACATCAAAAACTTTCAGTGATGAAGATTACTATCAGTTCCAACATATTTTGCTTGAAATTTATGGGTTCATGCATGATCATCTGAATGAAGGGAAGGATTCTTTTAAAGCCTTGAAATTTCCATGGGTTTGGACTGGCAAAAACTTTTGCCCTCTTGTTCAGGCTGTGATAAAACCAATCCATGATCTGGATCTTCAGCCGTATTTATATAATGTGCCTAAAACCATGGCAAAATTCCACCAGCTGTTTAAGGCCTGTGGCTCAATAGAAGAGTTGACATCAGATCATATTTCCATGGTCATTCAGAAGGTTTATCTAGCAAGTGACCAAGAGTTGAGTGAACAAGAAAGTAAACAAAACCTTCATCTTATGTTGAATATTATGCGATGGCTGTATAGCAACCAGATTCCAGCAAGCCCTAATACACCAGTTCCCATCTATCATAGCAAAAATCCTTCCAAACTCGTCATGAAGCCAATTCATGAATGCTGTTATTGTGACATCAAAGTTGATGACCTCAATGACTTACTTGAAGATTCAGTGGAACCAATCATTTTGGTACATGAAGACATACCCATGAAAACTGCGGAGTGGCTAAAAGTTCCCTGCCTTAGTACAAGACTGATCAACCCTGAAAACATGGGGTTTGAGCAGTCAGGACAAAGAGAGCCTCTTACTGTAAGGATTAAAAATATTTTGGAAGAATACCCTTCTGTGTCAGATATTTTTAAAGAGCTGCTTCAAAATGCCGATGATGCAAATGCTACAGAATGTAGTTTCCTGGTTGATATGAGAAGAAATATGGACATCAGAGAGAATCTCCTAGACCCAGGGATGGCAGCTTGCCATGGACCTGCTTTGTGGTCTTTCAACAATTCTGAATTCTCAGATTCAGATTTTATAAACATAACCAGATTAGGAGAATCTTTAAAAAGGGGAGAAGTTGACAAAGTTGGAAAATTTGGTCTTGGATTTAATTCAGTGTACCACATCACTGACATCCCCATCATTATGAGCCGAGAATTTATGATTATGTTTGATCCAAACATAAATCATATCAGTAAACACATAAAAGATAGATCTAATCCTGGAATCAAAATTAATTGGAGTAAACAGCAGAAAAGACTTAGGAAATTTCCAAATCAGTTCAAACCATTTATAGATGTATTTGGCTGTCAGTTACCTTTGGCTGTAGAGGCCCCTTACAGCTACAATGGAACTCTTTTCCGGCTGTCCTTTAGAACACAACAGGAAGCAAAAGTGAGTGAAGTTAGCAGTACCTGTTATAACACTGCAGATATTTACTCCCTAGTGGATGAATTTAGCCTTTGCGGGCACAGACTTATCATTTTCACCCAGAGTGTAAACTCAATGTACCTGAAATACTTGAAGATAGAAGAAACAAACCCTAGCCTAGCGCAAGACACAATAATAATTAAGAAAAAAGCCTGTTCCTCCAAAGCATTGAGTGCACCAGCTTTGAGTGTTTTAAAAGAAGCTGCTAAACTCATGAAGACTTGTAGCAGCAGCAACAAAAAACTTCCCACTGATGTGCCAAAATCATCTTGCATTCTTCAGATCACAGTTGAAGAATTCCACCATGTGTTTAGGAGGATTGCTGACTTACAGTCACCACTGTTTAGAGGTCCAGATGATGACCCAGCTACTCTCTTTGAAATGGCTAAATCTGGCCAATCAAAAAAGCCATCAGATGAGTTGCCACAAAAGACGGTAGATTGCACTACATGGCTTATATGCACCTGCATGGATACAGGAGAGGCTCTGAAGTTCTCCTTGAATGAAAGTGGAAAAAGACTAGGGCTGGTTCCTTGTGGGGCAGTAGGTGTTCTTTTGCATGAAACCCAGGAGCAGAAGTGGTCTGTGAAACCACACATAGGAGAGGTGTTTTGCTATTTACCTCTACGAATAAAAACAGGGTTGCCAATTCACATCAATGGGTGCTTTGCTGTTACTTCAAATAGGAAAGAAATCTGGAAGACGGATACAAAAGGGCGATGGAATACCACATTCATGAGGCATGTCATTGTGAAAGCTTACTTACAAGCACTCGGTGTCTTACGGGACCTAGCCACTGGTGGTGAGTTAATTGATTATACTTACTATGCTGTGTGGCCTGATCCTGATCTAGTTCATGATGACTTCTCTGTGATTTGTCAAGGATTTTATGAAGATATAGCTCATGGGAAGGGGAAGGAGTTGACCAGAGTCTTCTCTGATGGTTCTACTTGGGTTTCCATGAAGAATGTGAGGTTTCTAGATGACTCTATACTTCAAAGGAAAGATGTTGGTTCAGCAGCCTTCAAGATATTTCTGAAGTACCTCAAGAAAACAGGCTCCAAAAACCTCTGTGCTGTTGAGCTCCCTTCTTCAGTAAAGGCAGGATTTGAAGAGGCTGGCTGTAAACAAATACTGCTTGAAAATACATTTTCAGAGAAACAGTTTTTTACAGAAGTCTTTTTCCCTAATATTCAGGAAATTGAAGCAGAATTGAGAGATCCTTTAATGAATTTTGTCCTAAATGAGAAACTTGATGAATTCTCAGGAATTCTTCGTGTTACCCCATGTGTTCCTTGCTCCTTGGAGGGCCATCCTCTGGTTTTGCCATCAAGACTGATCCACCCTGAAGGACGAGTTGCAAAGTTATTTGATACTAAGGATGGGAGGTTCCCTTATGGCTCTACACAAGATTACCTCAATCCTATTATTTTGATTAAGCTAGTTCAGTTAGGCATGGCAAAAGATGACATTTTGTGGGATGACATGCTAGAGCGTGCAGAGTCAGTAGCTGAGATTAATAAAAGTGACCATGCTGCTGCCTGTCTAAGGAGTAGTATTTTACTAAGCCTTATTGATGAGAAGCTAAAAATAAGAGATCCTAGAGCAAAGGATTTTGCTGCAAGATACCAAACAATTCCCTTCCTTCCATTTCTAACAAAGCCAGCAGGTTTTTCTTTAGAATGGAAAGGGAACAGTTTTAAGCCTGAAACCATGTTTGCAGCAACTAACCTTTATACAGCTGAATATCAAGATATAGTCTGTCTTTTGCAACCAATTCTCAATGAAAATTCCCATTCTTTTAGAGGGTGTGGTTCAGTGTCGTTGGCTGTTAAAGAGTTTCTGGGTTTACTAAAGAAGCCAACAGTTGATCTGGTAATAAATCAGTTGAAGCAAGTTGCAAAGTCAGTTGATGATGGCATTACATTGTATCAGGAGAACATCACCAATGCTTGCTACAAGTACCTCCATGAAGCAATGATGCAGAATGAAATGGCCAAGGCAGCAATTATTGAAAAGCTAAAACCATTTCATTTCATTCTGGTTGAGAATGTATACGTTGAGTCAGAAAAAGTTTCTTTCCATTTGAATTTTGAAGCAGCACCATATCTCTATCAGTTACCTAACAAGTATAAAAATAATTTCCGTGAACTTTTTGAAAGTGTGGGTGTGCGACAGTCATTTACAGTTGAAGATTTTGCCCTAGTTTTAGAGACTATTGATCAAGAAAGAGGAAAAAAACAAATTACAGAAGAGAATTTTCAGCTTTGCCGACGAATAATCAGTGAAGGAATCTGGAGTCTCATTAGAGAAAAGAGACAAGAATTCTGTGAGAAAAATTATGGCAAAATATTACTGCCAGATACTAATCTTCTGCTTCTCCCTGCTAAGTCATTATGCTATAATGACTGTCCCTGGATAAAAGTAAAGGATTCTACTGTTAAGTATTGCCATGCTGACATACCCCGGGAAGTAGCTGTAAAACTAGGAGCAATACCAAAGAGACACAAAGCCTTAGAAAGATATGCATCCAACATCTGTTTCACAGCTCCAGGTACAGAGTTTGGGCAGAAAGAAAAACTGACCAGCAGAATTAAGAGCATACTCAATGCCTATCCTTCAGAAAAGGAAATGCTGAAAGAGCTTCTTCAAAATGCTGATGATGCAAAGGCCACAGAAATCTGCTTTGTCTTTGATCCCAGGCAGCATCCTGTTGACCGAATATTTGATGATAAGTGGGCCCCACTGCAAGGGCCAGCACTGTGTGTGTACAACAACCAGCCATTTACAGAAGATGATGTTAGAGGAATTCAGAATCTTGGGAAAGGCACCAAAGAAGGAAATCCTTGCAAAACGGGACAATATGGAATTGGATTCAATTCTGTGTATCACATTACAGACTGCCCTTCTTTTATTTCTGGCAATGATATCCTGTGTATTTTTGATCCCCATGCCAGATATGCACCAGGAGCCACATCAGTTAGTCCTGGACGCATGTTCAGAGATTTGGATGCAGACTTTAGAACCCAGTTCTCAGATGTTCTGGATCTTTACTTGGGAAACCACTTTAAACTGGACAATTGTACAATGTTTAGATTTCCTCTGCGTAATGCAGAAATGGCACAAGTTTCAGAAATATCCTCAGTTCCATCCTCAGACAGAATGGTCCAGAATCTTTTAGACAAACTGCGCTCTGATGGGGCAGAACTTCTGATGTTTCTCAATCACATGGAAAAAATATCTATTTGTGAAATAGATAAAGCCACAGGAGGTTTGAATGTGCTCTATTCAGTAAAAGGCAAGATCACTGATGGAGACCGATTGAAAAGGAAGCAATTCCATGCATCTGTAATTGATAGTGTTACTAAAAAGAGGCAGCTCAAGGACATTCCGGTTCAACAGATAACCTACACAATGGATACTGAGGACTCTGAGGGCAATCTGACCACATGGCTGATCTGTAATAGATCAGGGTTCTCAAGTATGGACAAAGTGTCTAAGAGTGTTATATCGGCTCATAAGAACCAAGATATCACTCTCTTCCCACGTGGTGGAGTAGCTGCCTGCGTTACACACAACTATAAAAAGCCCCACAGGGCCTTCTGCTTTCTGCCTCTCTCTTTGGAGACAGGTCTGCCATTTCATGTGAATGGCCACTTTGCTCTAGATTCAGCCAGAAGAAACTTGTGGCGTGATGATAATGGGGTTGGTGTCCGAAGTGACTGGAATAATAGTTTAATGACAGCATTAATAGCGCCTGCATATGTTGAATTACTAATCCAGTTAAAAAAACGGTATTTCCCTGGTTCTGACCCAACATTGTCAGTTTTACAGAACACACCCATTCATGTTGTAAAGGACACATTGAAGAAGTTTCTGTCCTTCTTTCCAGTTAACAGGCTTGATCTGCAGCCAGATTTATATTGCTTAGTAAAAGCACTTTACAGTTGCATCCATGAAGACATGAAACGCCTTTTACCTGTTGTTCGTGCTCCAAATATTGATGGCTCTGATTTGCACTCTGCAGTCATAATTACTTGGATCAATATGTCTACTTTGAATAAAACTAGACCATTTTTTGATAACTTGCTACAGGACGAATTACAACACCTTAAAAATGCAGATTATAACATCACAACTCGAAAAACAGTTGCAGAGAATGTCTACAGACTAAAGCACCTGCTTTTAGAAATCGGTTTCAACTTGGTTTATAACTGTGACGAAACTGCTAATCTTTACCACTGCCTCATAGACGCAGATATTCCTGTTAGCTATGTGACTCCTGCTGATGTCAGGTCCTTCTTAATGACTTTCTCTTCTGCTGATACCAGTTGCCATATCGGGAAGCTGCCTTGTCGTCTCCAGCAAACAAATCTAAAGCTCTTTCATAGTTTAAAACTGCTAGTTGATTACTGTTTTAAAGATGCTGAAGAAAATGAGTTTGAAGTTGAGGGACTGCCCCTGCTCATCACATTGGACAGTGTTTTGCAAGTTTTTGATAGTAAAAGACCCAAGTTCCTAACAACATACCACGAATTAATTCCATCACGTAAAGACTTGTTTATGAATACCTTATACTTGAAATACAGTAGCGTTTTGTTGAACTGCAAAGTTGCAAAAGTGTTTGATATTTCCAGCTTTGCTGACTTACTCTCTTCTGTATTGCCTCGTGAATATAAGACCAAAAACTGTGCAAAATGGAAAGACAATTTTGCCAGTGAATCTTGGCTTAAGAATGCTTGGCATTTTATCAGTGAATCTGTAAGTGTGACAGAAGATCAGGAAGAACCAAAGCCAGCATTTGATGTCATTGTTGACATCCTCAAAGACTGGGCATTGCTTCCAGGAACAAAGTTCACTGTGTCATCCAATCAGCTTGTAGTTCCCGAGGGAGATGTGCTGATCCCCCTGAGCCTCATGCACATTGCCGTTTTCCCAAACGCTCAGAGTGATAAGGTTTTTCACGCTCTCATGAAAGCTGGCTGTATTCAGCTTGCTTTGAACAAAATCTGCTCTAAAGACAGTGCATTAGTTCCTGTGTTGTCATGTCACACAGCAAACATCGATAGCCCCACAAGCATCCTGAAGGCTGTACATTATATGGTTCAAACTTCAACATTTAGAACTGAAAAACTAGTGGAAAATGACTTTGAAGCACTTTTGATGTATTTCAACTGTAATTTGAGTCACTTGATGTCCCAAGATGATATAAAAATTTTAAAGTCCCTCCCATGCTACAAATCCATCAGTGGCCGCTATATGAGCATTGCAAAATTTGGAACATGCTATGTGCTTACCAAAAGTATCCCTTCAGCTGAAGTGGAAAAATGGACACAGTCATCATCATCTGCTTTTCTTGAAGAAAAGGTACATTTAAAAGAACTGTACGAGGTTCTGGGCTGTGTGCCGGTAGATGATCTGGAGGTGTATTTGAAACACCTTCTACCAAAAATTGAAAATCTCTCTTATGATGCAAAATTAGAGCACTTGATCTATCTGAAGAATAGATTGTCAAGCATTGAGGAGCTGTCAGAGATTAAAGAACAACTTTTTGAAAAGCTGGAAAGTTTATTGATTATCCATGATGCCAACAATCGACTCAAACAAGCAAAACATTTCTATGATAGAACTGTGAGAGTTTTTGAAGTTATGCTTCCTGAAAAATTGTTTATTCCTAAAGAGTTCTTTAAAAAACTGGAACAAGTAATAAAACCTAAAAATCAAGTTGCATTTATGACATCCTGGGTGGAGTTCTTGAGAAATGTTGGACTAAAGTACGCACTTTCCCAGCAGCAGCTGTTACAGTTTGCCAAGGAAATCAGTGTGAGGGCAAATACAGAAAACTGGTCTAAAGAAACACTGCAAAGTACAGTTGACATCCTTCTCCATCACATATTCCAAGAACGAGTGGATTTGTTATCTGGAAATTTTCTGAAGGAACTGTCCTTAATACCATTCTTGTGTCCTGAACGGGCCCCTGCTGAATACATTCGGTTTCACCCTCAGTACCAGGAGGTAAATGGGATGCTCCCTCTCATAAAGTTCAATGGAGCACAGGTGAACCCAAAGTTCAAGCAGTGTGATGTGCTCCAGCTGCTGTGGACCTCCTGCCCTATTCTTCCAGAGAAAGCCACACCCTTGAGCATCAGAGAACAAGAAGGCAGTGACCTTGGTCCACAGGAACAGCTTGAACAAGTTTTAAATATGCTTAATGTTAACTTGGACCCCCCTCTTGATAAGGTCATTAATAATTGCAGAAACATATGCAACATAACAACTTTGGATGAGGAAATGGTAAAAACTAGAGCAAAGGTCTTGAGGAGCATATATGAATTTCTCAGTGCAGAAAAACGGGAGTTCCGTTTTCAGCTTCGTGGTGTTGCTTTTGTGATGGTCGAAGATGGCTGGAAACTTCTGAAGCCTGAGGAAGTAGTGATAAACCTGGAATATGAAGCTGATTTTAAGCCCTATTTGTACAAACTGCCTTTAGAGCTTGGCACATTTCACCAGCTGTTCAAACATTTAGGCACTGAAGATATTATTTCAACTAAGCAATATGTTGAAGTATTGAGCCGCATATTCAAAAACTCTGAAGGAAAGCAGTTAGATCCTAATGAGATGCGCACAGTTAAGAGAGTGGTTTCTGGTCTGTTCAAGAGTCTACAAAATGATTCAGTCAAGGTGAGAAATGATCTGGAGAATGCCCGGGACCTCGCACTCTACCTTCCGAGCCAGGATGGTAGGTTGGTGAAGTCAAGTATCTTGGTGTTTGACGATGCACCACACTATAAAAGTAGAATCCAAGGCAATATTGGTGTGCAAATGCTAGTTGATCTTAGCCAGTGCTACTTAGGGAAAGACCACGGATTCCACACTAAACTGATCATGCTTTTTCCTCAAAAACTTCGACCTCGTCTGCTGAGCAGTATACTTGAAGAGCAGCTCGATGAAGAGACTCCCAAAGTGTGCCAGTTTGGAGCATTGTGTTCTCTTCAGGGAAGACTGCAACTTCTCTTGTCTTCAGAGCAGTTCATCACAGGACTCATCAGAATCATGAAGCATGAAAATGATAATGCTTTCCTGGCCAATGAAGAAAAAGCCATCAGACTTTGCAAAGCTCTAAGAGAAGGGCTGAAAGTGTCCTGTTTTGAAAAGCTTCAGACAACATTAAGGGTTAAAGGTTTTAATCCTATTCCCCATAGCAGGAGTGAAACTTTTGCTTTTCTGAAGCGATTTGGCAATGCAGTCATCTTGCTCTACATCCAGCATTCAGACAGTAAAGACATTAACTTTCTGCTAGCCTTAGCAATGACACTTAAATCAGCAACTGACAACTTGATTTCTGACACGTCGTATTTAATTGCTATGCTGGGATGCAACGACATTTACAGGATCAGTGAGAAACTTGACAGTTTAGGGGTAAAATATGACTCTTCTGAGCCATCAAAACTGGAACTTCCTATGCCTGGCACACCAATACCTGCCGAGATCCATTATACACTGCTTATGGATCCAATGAATGTTTTTTATCCTGGAGAATATGTGGGATATCTTGTGGATGCAGAAGGTGGTGATATCTATGGGTCATACCAGCCAACATACACATATGCAATTATTGTGCAAGAAGTTGAAAGAGAAGATGCTGACAATACTAGCTTCCTAGGAAAGATCTATCAGATTGATATTGGCTACAGTGAGTATAAGATAGTCAGCTCTCTTGATCTGTACAAGTTCTCGAGGCCTGACGAAAGCTCTCAAAGCAGAGACAGTGCTCCCACCACACCAACAAGCCCCACAGAGTTCCTGACTCCCGGTCTCAGAAGCATTCCTCCTCTTTTTCCTGGAAGAGAGAGCCACAAGTCTCCCTCCTCCAAACACCAGTCCCCAAAAAAGCTCAAGGTGAATACTTTGCCAGAAATCTTAAAAGAAGTGACATCAGTGGTAGAGCAAGCTTGGAAGCTTCCAGAATCAGAACGAAAAAAGATCATTAGACGGTTGTATTTGAAGTGGCACCCTGACAAAAACCCAGAGAATCATGACATTGCTAATGAAGTTTTCAAACATCTGCAGAATGAAATCAACAGATTAGAAAAACAGGCTTTTCTAGATCAAAATGCAGACAGAGCTTCAAGAAGAACATTTTCAACCTCTGCATCCCGCTTTCAGTCAGACAAGTACTCATTTCAAAGATTTTATACTTCATGGAATCAAGAAGCCACAAGTCATAAATCTGAAAGGCAACAGCAAAGTAAAGAAAAATGCCCTCCTTCTGCTGGACAGACATACTCTCAAAGGTTCTTTGTCCCTCCCACCTTCAAGTCTGTGGGCAATCCAGTGGAAGCCCGGAGATGGCTAAGACAAGCCAGAGCTAACTTCTCAGCTGCCAGGAATGACCTTCACAAGAATGCCAATGAATGGGTGTGTTTCAAGTGCTACCTCTCCACCAAGTTAGCTTTGATTGCAGCCGACTATGCCGTCAGGGGGAAATCCGATAAAGATGTAAAGCCAACGGCACTTGCACAGAAGATAGAGGAGTACAGCGAACAGCTGGAAGGACTGACAAACGATGTGCACACATTGGAAGCTTATGGTGTAGACAGCTTAAAAACTAGATATCCTGATTTGCTTCCTTTCCCACAGATCCCTAACGACAGGTTCACGTCTGAGGTTGCCATGAGAGTGATGGAATGTACAGCATGTATCATCATAAAACTTGAAAATTTTATACAACAAAAGGCATGAAAGTATTTAAAGAAAAAATCAGAGCCAGATCTTGAATGTGTTATAGCACAACTACGAATTTCTGTACTTCATTCAGCTTCATTGCCAGTGTCTGGTAATTGAGAAGCACACGAGAGTGTTCTGGAAACATTTGGAAGCTGTATGACTCCTCACAGAAAGCTTAGCAGAGTTGAAAGCTGGCTTTGAAGGTGGTGGTGACCTGCAGAGGTCCTAGGTTTGAGCAGTTGGGTGGCACATTACTGAACTGCACTTTATATAACCAAAGCTTAGCAGTTTGTTAGATAAGAGTCTACTCTCTGGTTAGGAGGAAGTTAATTTTATGTCTTTAAACACGTTTTGAAGTAGGTAAGGAAACACTGGACATACTGATTTGGACATATGAGGGGAATTAGGTCTCTGAGGCTTATCACTTTCTAAGTGGACACTTCTAGATGCATTATTTCTTATCAGCTGGGTCTGATTGTGAATTTCTTGCTGTTTCACATCTTGAGTTGTACATTTAGAAATGGTACAGTATTTAATCCTGACTATTACTTGACAAAGAGTATGAAGATGGTCACTGGAGTGCGCTGGGTGCACTTTACATCTTTATTTTAATTTTTTTATACCTTGTGTTTGCAGGTTTCCTGATTCATGGAGATAACTTATGGAAATCTCAGAGTGCTGGTTCCTACTATAAGATATTGTTTCTAAAACTGCTTACCAACATGACATTTATCAAAAGAACATTGGCATTATGTTTTGTGTACATATTTCCCAAAAATGTCATAATTTGTATAGTGTGACTGAACAGGATGCAATCTTTTGTTGTCTAAAGGTGCTGCAGTGAAAAAACCTTTTTCAATATGGCACTTAGTGGGAATTTTAAAATTTTTACTTTAAGTACATTAAAATTGCTGAAATAATCTTTAAGGTGATATGCAGTAGTTTACAAAGGGAATTATCAGTGTGTACTGTCCCCCATGAATGACTGGGAATTGACATTTAATTTTCATGATGTTCAAAAGTCCTAACATACATATTTAACATATTCTTTTGCATAATGTCAAAGAAAGGAAATAATAGCTTATATAAGTGCACTGGCTGTAAATGATGCTAAATATATTTTATGCAATTAAGGGCTTACATACAGAACATGTTCAATTTTTTTTAACTTCATTTGTAATAAGGAATGTTAATTGCTTCTGGATGTGAATCATGAATATTTTCTGCTGTTAATATTAAATGCCATAATTTTATTAAAGAAAAATGTATATAGTAAATCATTTTGCTTTGTTATTTTCTAAATTTTTGTTTTGAGATTTTATTTTTATTTTATGTATATGGGTGTTTTGCATATTTCTGTGTACCACCTGCATGCAGCACCCTCAGAGTTCAGAAGAGGGCATCAGATCCTCTGGGACAGGATTTAAAAATAATGGTGAGTCACCATGTGGGTGCTGGGAACTGAACCTGGCTCTTCTGATAGAGCACTCAGTGCTCTTGACTGCTGAGAATCTCTGCAGCTTCAGGTGATTTCTTGAGAAATAGTTTGATGGAAATCAGGCTTAGTGTTTCCTACATTTTGAGTTTTAGTATACATTGGTATGTGTTTATTGTCCTGAATGTTTCATGCTGAGATGTTAGGGTTCCTTGTGGTTTACTCACAGGAAGTACATATTATATGTAGCCTTATTAGGTGTTCACTGATTTAGTTAAGAGCTCCCTTCACCTCTGTAGGGAACAGAATTAGTTGATTCATCTGTTGAGGTGGGTTTGAATGTAACTGCACCATACCTAGCATGTCTTGACATTCCCTGTCTCTGGACAGCACTGTGTTTGGGGCTGGTTCACATCTAACTTAGGGAAATGGTTTGTCCCTCAGGCACCAGACTTCTGAAGGTAAGTGATAGAGGGTTAAACATTCTATTGTGATGCTACCCAATGTTGCTTTCCTTATCAAATGTATGCTGTTTGATGCTTAGATTCAGCACTTAGAATTATCATCACTAAAACTATACAGAAAACTCTGTCTGGCCTTTAGGATAGTTGATCTAGTTGAAAACAAACCAAACAACTCAGATTCACAACCCGTTACATGAAGTATCGGGTCCAGTTGCATTTCATCTTTTCTTCAGTGAGTTAATCTGAGAGCATGTTAGATTGTTTGTTTAATTTTTAGATTTATTTTTATTTTATTTTACTATTTATGTGCATGGGTATTTTACTTGCATACATGTTGTGCACCACATATGGAGGCTAGAAGGATCAGATCCGTTGGAACTGGAGTTAAAAAAAAATGTGGTATGGAGCCACCATGTGGGTGCTGGGAATTGAACTGGTGTCCTCCAGAAGAGCAGCCATGTCTCTTAACTGCTGAGCCATCTCTCTAGGTCTGTGAGATCGTGTCTGCTTTTAATGAAACATCTTCATGGGGTTTGACAACACCCTGCAATCTTCTGCAGTGAGCCTGTGAATATCTACCCTAGCTTAACTATGAAATCTTCATAAATAGCCTTGCAGAATTGAGATCAGGTTTCAACACTAACTTAGCAGCAGCAAGTGTATTTGAAAAGTATTCTCCTTGCCCCCTCTGCCAGATAATTTTAGAGTTTGAAATTGAGAATAAAGAATTTTTGCCCTGAATAAATGTGTATATTTTACTGTCTTAAGCTTTTAAAAACCCATTTGCCTTTTTTCTTTTTCTTTCTTTTTTTTATGATAATGGATACTGAATGCCTGAAGCAGGTGCTTGGTTAAGATCGCAATGCCTTCACTGGGGATGAGGCAGGGCACCCAGCAAGGATGGATGTCCTGGCTGAAACAGGCAAGCCTGTGCACTGCCTGTGCACTACAATCAGTACAGCAGAGAGGAGAGCAGAGATGTTGAGCCCAAGAAGTATTCCAGGAAAATGTTTAGTTGACTTGGTGATGGGTAACATTTATTCCATCAACGCAGCTTGTAAACTGTGCTCTTAAATCTTACACAACCCCACGATACATCCGTAGTTCTGGTAGAAAATAGCAGTAATGGAAGATTTTAGATATCGTGTATCAGAACCAGTAGTGTGTATGTGAGGAGATTCACTGCTTGACATTGCTTGGCAACTGGGCAAAGTCTAGAATCTAATGGTCCACCTAAAGGCTGGAAAGGCTGAGAAACTAAGGCACATTCTACAGACAGAATTTCTCAGCTCTTTGATTTCTAAACTTGTTGCCCATTTATCTTAATATGACTTAAGGTTATACTTCATTTATTTAAAAAAAAACTTTATTAGGGTTCTCCAAGAACTGATAGAATGAAGTAATATATACTTATATATTAGGGATTTATCAGAGTGGGTTACAGGGTGTGATCTACGTAGTCCAACAATGGCTCTCTCCTGATGGAAAAGCCAGTGATACAGTAGTTATTCAGTCCCCGAGACGGGATATTTTAGCAGTCCCAATCTGATGCTGGACCCCAGGAGGTCCTAGAGAGCTGCCAGTCTTCAGTACACGTTGGAATCCCGATTTTAACACCAGCAAAGAAATGAATGGGTAAGCAGACAAAGTACAAGCTTCCTTCTGTGTCCTTTTATATAGGTGACCACCAGAAAGTGTGGCCTAGTTTTAGGGTGGGTCTTGCACCTCAAATAATCCAGGAAAAATCTCCCACGAGTGCACCCAGCTGCTTGGGTTTCAGTTGCTTCCAAATGTAAATCAAGTTGACAACCTAGATTAGCTATCACACAGATCTTCTGATCACATTGTAGGTGTCCCCTGTGTTAGGTCTGGGGATGTGGTGAGGGCATTCCAGCTTGGCTGTCTCAGTCAGACCAAAGCCTGGGATGATTTACCTAGCAACATGATAAAACTAATCTGCATACTTTCTAAAGCCAAATTCGTTAACTTTTATTTAAGATTATGAGTGTAAATAGTGAATAGTGGGACAGAATTCAGGAAAGCCCTTTCCTACCTCCTCTGAATACAAAACCATTGTTGGAAGGCCCTGCTAATTAGAGGTTACAGTCTTCCATGGCCTGATAGCTCTCTCCAAGCTTAGCAACATGGAGGACTCCAGCACTCTACCTGACCTTATCTGGAGAATGTCTCTAGGCCTGGATGCCTGACTTATCGCTAGTGTGACCCTTGACACAGTCCCTCTGCTGCCCATATGGTAATCAGACTTGTACTGGGAGCCTTGATAGGAACAGGCTGTTTAATGTAGATTAGTTGATATCCCAGTCTCTGTCCTGATCCTTTATATCTTCCCTCACTCTGGAAAAGTTGAACTGTCTCACTGAAGCTATCTCCTGGAAGTCTATTTCTACCTGTGTTCACAGTTCTTACAAAGCTTTCTGTTGCTCCTCTGCCCCTTTGTCCTTGCAGACTGCTAGCCAACAGACCAAGAGAAAAGAGTATACCGTGTGCCATAGCCTCTAAGAAGCCAGAAATGAACTTGTGCTTTACTCTGTCAACAGTGTGCTTTTCAACACAGTGCTCACACCATCTAAATTGTTGGCTTGTACTTGATGCAAAGTCCATTGTGTTCTAAGCTATAAGAATGTAGATAGTGAAATTTAAACCATTTGTGGGTGGCTGAAGCCAGTCTAGACCCACTGTTATTTTGAATCAGGGACCACAAAACAGATATGCTGAAAACCATACGTGAGGCATTCTGCCTTCATTTGCTGTTCCCCCAAGACAGCTGGCTGATGGGTTAATTGAGGGAGGGCTCAGCCAGCATGGCTCTGCCCTATCACAAGAGCCTGGCAGCCTTCAGAAATCAGTGTGTGTCATAGTCAATGACTTCTGTCTTAGGTTCTATTGCTGTGAAGAGACACCATGACCATAGCCACTATTCTAAAGGAAAACATTTTCAGAGGTTTAGGCCATTATCGTTATGGCAGGAAGTTGGCGGCATGCAGGCAGACATGATGCTTCAAAAGTAGTTGAGAGTTCTACATCAGCATCCACAGGCAGCAGGAAGAGAAAGCTACTGCGTCTGGCTTGGGCATTTGAAACCCCAAAGCACACCCCCAGAGACACACTTCCTCCAACAAGGCCACACCTACCCAGCAAGGCCACATTTCCTCATCCCTTTCAGGTACTGCCACCCTCTGATGACCAAATAGATGAGCCTGTGGGAGCCATTCTTACTCAAATCACCATAGTGTCCATTACACAGGATGCTATGGGAGTTAGAGCCTGAATTCTGTTGTGTTCGTTAGGTTACAAAACCACTGTCCTTGCAACCATCTTCTCTGGCTCTGCCATCCACAGCACATGTGACTTGCTTTCTAGGCTCAGCCTGGCTCCACTCCACATATGCTGCTGTCCTTGGTGACTGTCTCATGAAACTGGCATCTGCAAAATTCTTTGGTCTCTGCTGCAATTGGGCTGTACCTTTATCAGTAACCTCTGCTGGACTCTTCCTCAGGGACCCTGATCCTGACACATGGTGCCAAACCTCAACTTCTCTCTTATGACCCCTTTAATACTGGGACTTCTACTGCAATCAAAGCTGCACCTTCATCAATGACCTCTCCTAGTACCAAACCTTGGCTGTTCTCCCTGAGAACATTCCTTGGAGAAGAGACCTGGGAGACTTACACATTGCCAAGTTCAGCTGCCAGTCCAGGTACAGCCTGGCCCCCTCTGGATCACAGCTTCTGTGTGCTGACCTTGATTTGAGAGAAAGACAAAGATAGACAGGCGTAATTGAAACAAAATCTTCTAGGAAATGTTTCCTCAGTGTTGGCACACACAGAGCTGTGATCTGGAGCGGGCCAAGGCTCTTCTTCCTCCTGAAGACTTTGCCTCAGTGATGCTGGTCTCATCTTAATTACAGTTGATTCTTCAGTCCCAGATGACCAGCGTCAACTGTCCCAACAAAGCAAAGTTTTCATTTTAGTGGTTCTTAATCCACAGTTACATGATCAGCCTGATAAAGTCTTTAAGGGACTTTCAAACTCCCTCCGCAACTTCGCAAGCCAGGCCTCCGTCATCTGCACTGCTCTCAGCATGGTCTTGAGTTCCCACAACAGCTCGTTAAGCCCTGAACACTCAATGACTTTTCTAGTTCTAAGTTCCAGAGTCTTTCCATGATCTTCCCGAAACACATGGTCTGGTCCATCACAAAACCATCTACTTTCTGATACCAATTTCTGTCTTGGTTTCTAATGCTGTGATGAAACACCATGACCAAAAGTAACTCGTGGAGGAAAAGGTTTATTTCAGCTTACATGTCCCCATCATGATCTATCATGAAGAAAGTCAGGCAGGAAAGTGGAGGCAGGAGCTGGTGCAGAAGCCATGAAGGAACATTGCTTATTGGTTGGCTTTCCATGAGTTGCTCAGATTTCTATCTTATGCAACCCAGTACCAGAAGTAAGGGGCTGGCAACACCCACAATGGCCTGGGCCCTCCCTCATCAGTCACTAATTTAAAATGCCCTTCAGGCTTGCCTACGAGCCAATATTTTTTCTCTTTTGACATCATTTCTCCCTTCCCTTCCCTCCCTATGAACAGTCACATATACCCCTCCTTGCTCTCTCTCAAACTCATTTTTTTATTTTAGTCTCATATTAAACTCCCTCTGATCTCTGACTCTTACCATCTTTCTGCCCCAGGCCAGAAAGATGAAATGATTCATCTTATGAAATGATTGTCTCAGGTCTGATTCTTTCTTCTCAGATAACGTTATCTTGTGTCAATTTGAAAAAGAGAAAGAAAGAAAACAAACCCAGATTCAAGGATTAGTCTTAATAAGCATAGGTATGCTCTTGAATGTGAGAAAATTTTAATTACATGTATCTATAATTTTATATTAGGGTCCATTTAAAGTTTTTGGTCCTAACAAGGGATAAAGTACTTATCACTCTGGAGAATGCCCTCTATGCACAGAATCTTCCAATAGGAGTCTATAAAGCCAAGAAGCACACACACACAAAAAAATAATGTTTCTCTCTCTCTCTCTCTCTCTCTCTCTCTCTCTCTCTCTCTCTCTGTGTGTGTGTGTGTGTGTGTGTGTGTGCGCACGCTTGTAGAGGCTCAAGGTTTTTATGCCAGGAATCTTCCTTGATTGCTCTGCCACTGTATTTTTTGAGGCACAGTCTCTCTCTCAGCCAAACCCAGAGCTCACTGGTAGGACTAGTCTTACTAGCCAGCTTGCCCTGGGCATTCCACCTCTGCATTCCAAGGCTGGTGTCACAGGTGGGTGGCCACATCTACCTGTCATTTAATGGGTTCTGCAATCTGGACTCCAGTTCTCAGAGCCACCTCCCAGATCCTATTTTCCACTCTCATGCTTTCTCTTCGACCTCACTGTACCAATGGAGCCTTTGTGGACTTGTATGAGAAAAAGTTTACTTATACATGTAATCCTGTGTTAGGCCATATGGGCTTGAAGACATTGTTTAGGTACAAGCATGGGACTGACTGACCTTGACGTGTCACAGAAATCAGAAATTAAAAAAAAAAGCAAGATTGAAAAAAAATGAAGATTGAACCCAAATGAACAGTGCCCAGGAACCCAGGAACACTGTGTGTTCAGGTGTTCGCTCTCAGTGCCATAGGAAGCACTGTGTTTTACTTTGCTGTTTCCTGTGTGCTGTGTGCTACCCTTAGAGTGAGGATTGGAAGAAGCATTAGATAAACACTTTATTAAAAAAGCATTAAAAGAGTTCACTTTT